CACAATAAGGGCAAAATGGAGAGGTGCCCCATCCTATTGGTAGACAACAGTGTCAATAATGCCAATCTGTTGCTAACTGTAGCTCAAGATATTGTTGCAACATATCCAGATAAATTTCTACAGTGCTGATCCTTCCTACAAACATGAAAGTTCCACAGAGGTTAGACGTAGCTATTCTGAGCCCCTACATTAACTTAAGGAGTGTCTCCTTGAGATTCGTATAACACGTTTGGTAGTTTATCAACCCTCATTCGACAATAATGCCTCTTAACATGGTCGCTGAGATGGAGTGTGGCTTTGTCGCTAAAGAGAACAATATACATTAAGTTTTCATTATACACAGCTTCCAACAAATCATAACAAATAGCTTGCCGATCTGCATAGTCCTCAGCTTTAAGCACAGTTTATGCACAGTTTTAATGTGGTAGGCATCCTTGTTTAAATGTGCAGCGTAGAATTTTTCAAACAGTAATATGCGAAATATCGAGTCCCCGACTGAGTCTTCGTGTAGATGCCTGGGGTTTACGCGTAATCGCTTCTTTTGCGCTTTGCTCAACTTGTGTTATGTTATCAAACGTTATCAGAGGTCTTCCAGAACGGTCTTCAACTTTAACACTACTAGTTCGCTTGAATTTGTTTACCAAGGTTTTAATAGCTGCTCTCGTAGCGACTTGTTTTCTGAATTTGCGGGCGAAGTCCTGCTGCACCTGTTGATACGTTAAATCATGTGTACAGGCACAAACAATGGCTATTCTTTCCTCTGTTGATAGCATTCTTTCAGATAGCCTCCAAAAAATTGGAATTAGGATGTATTTCTCAAAAATGTATAGAGATTTTATATAAACACCCTGTATATATATATATATATATATATATATATATATATAATTATATAGATCAGACGATTCCCCTTGCACTGAATATACTCACACATCACTTCTCATCTCTTCAACTGTTAAATGAATTGGTCTCTTCGAATTTACAAATCATCCTCCGGAAACCCTTGATAAACATCAGACCAGAGTCGCGTCTTACATCCATTGATATCCGGAACTTGTTCAGCGCAGCTGAAGCATAGTCACCGTTCTTGTAAAAAGGCTTCACAAGCAGCGGCCAATCCTTCAATGACAGAAGATTTTCAGACGCAGAATAACGGGTACTCCATGTATTCCATGTTTTTGTTAAGTCTAATATGTGATGCGAATGTCACATCTTTTATTTAGCATATTAAAACAAACACAACGCCATCTATTGATACAATTTTGAACTATTTTTTATTTCTTCAGACAAATTCCCATTACATTTTATGCAATGGGAATTTGTAATGCATAATCAAATGAAATTTCAGGTTATTCAGACTTGTGATTCTTTTTTTTTTTTTTTTTTTTTTTTAAACAGCTTTTTGAAAACAGAGCTTTAGTTATAATCACCCTGTATTTTATTACACGAAAGCATTATAAGAATAGACGTAATATTGTTTGCAAACTGGAAATATGTTAATTTACAAAAATTCATAATTATTATTAACTGCTTTTACAGTCGAAAAAATTTCATACGAGACGTAGTTTGTGAATTAGTAATTTCTGGTAGGCATCCTTCGATACTAATATTTATTTCACAATTCTCATTGCCCTACGAGTTTAGGAAGTGATATGAAAGTAAAGTTCCTTGGTTAGGCCGACATTTGGAAATAAAAGAAGAGATCTCAATTCTCCTGGATGGGGTAGCGGCATTATACGAAGAAGACCAGTTCATAAGCAACGAGATACTAATTTTCATACACCAATAAATAAATAATTAAGTAAATAAATAAAAACCTAACTTTCCCTTTTTAGGAACATATAAGGAACATACATTTAGAAACATATATATTTAGGAACATATTTACAATTTATGCCAACTTTCACATACGTAGCCATGTTAAGAATCGCGATATATTTCGCAAGCGCAAAAATAGTCCTTTTTCCGAAATTATGCATCTAAAAACATCCATATTACGTCATTCAACATAGCGAATCGAGAAAATGTCAAACGAATGTATGCACTGTTGTTACTATTAAGAAAACAGTTTCAAAATTAACTAAACTTTTCTGTAAAAACTTGCACTTCAGTTTTCACGTCGGAGTAACGCCGCCCTAAACCTGTAATGTATGGTTATATTATCCTGCGAGTAAAGGGAAGTGGCTTGTACGTTATTTCCATGGTTGGAATACTACTAAGGTTTGCTTGAGACTGGAAAATAGCAATTTCCTAGGATTCGAGCTGGATTTTTGAATATCTTAATAACATTTATTAGAATTATCCATTTCAGTTGCAGTGCAAACGAAAATTATTTAACGGAGTATCTAAAAATAGGCGGAGTGTAAAATCTCTGACTAGATAGCAGTCTGAAGTTTGAAGCATATACTATGCATACTATTTCTCTTACGTAATTTAATTGAAAATAAAAAGTTTGGAAGTAAATTTTGGAGTTATTTTATGCAAAATGTACTAAAACGTAATATTATGCCAAAAATGAAGAATACAAAATTGAGTTTTCTACAACGCCGTAAGGTTATAAAAAAATTCATCATCCAAGACCTCCTACGAGCGACGCATTTTATTGCCATTAATTCTAAGGCTCCATAATATTGCTCTGCGAAGTACTGCTTCGGCAGCAGTGTTCCGCAATGACACTGCAGCACCGCAGTTATCGGTAAAAAAAGGTTATCCGGAATAGTTCCTCCCAATTAGTCTCGATAAATAAGGCTTTATTATATACGTTATAAAAATTTCAGGTTACCATATTTAATCATTTATTTTCGCATAGTTTAGAGCAGTGTGGGTAGGATGTACCAGTGGGGGGATGGGGAGTTAACACAAGACGGGCCAAATAAGATCTACTAATGTTAAACACGGATAACTCTTGCAATAATCATTTATTTTGATTAATTTTTTATACATTAAATATATTTTATGGAAATTATTATGCCTGAAATATGACATCAGACAAATGTCCACCATTTTTCTCGATACAGAGATTGGCTCTTTTTAACGCGTTTTCCATTACACCACGTAATGTTTCTGGTTGAAGGCTCAGTATTTCGTCTCGAATATTCTGTTTCAGCTGTCTAATAGTCTCTGGTTTTATTAACATACACTTTGTCTTTTAAATATCCCTATAAAAAGGATTCTGCTCCGCCACTAGCCGCAAAAAGTTTTCAATTCATTGTTCTGTAAGAAGCTCCGGAATCGTTTTCGGCGTTCCATCCTCATGCTTGAAGAAATATGAGCCGATAACTCTGTTGGCCATAACACCGCACCAAACAGTACACTTGAATAAAATATTGCCGATATTTACGCTGCGTCATAACAATTGATCGTTGACGAGAATAGAAAAACTCGATAATTTTAACACGTTGTTTTATACTGTATGGTTCCATAATAAATTTCCAAGAACTCAATTATAACCTATAAAAAGAAAAAAATAATTACATCAAAAAATAAAAAAAAGTAATTTGTGTTTAACACTGTAACGTCTTATTTGGCCCACCCTGTATTTAGTGAGTTAAGCACCCTTTTTCGTATTGTGTAATTATGTATCTCCATCTGCGACTGCGAATTAATGTATAATTCCAAATTAGATATTAATAGTTCAACTTTTGCTATTTCATTATTACAAATCTTTCATGCTATATAAGAAGAAATACGCAAATTTTATCGGAACGAAAGCAAATTACTTCTAGACATCGGATGAAACTATTCATAAAGAATAGCTTTATTCAACGGCAAAAAGTACATTGTGTATAACACCGATATGTTGCAAGGTTACTTCAATCATTCCTATAACGCTGATTTCTCTTCTCCAGAAATTTCGTTTGAGAACTGCTCATCAGTGGGTCACCGGCAGATTGTCTTATAAAGAAAATGCTCTGGTTTTTCATTATACACAAAAGCGAAATTAAGAAAGTCTCTATTTACCAGATCTTTGAACTAAAAGTAAATTTATTTTTATTTTGCAATTCAGTTCACTCAGCAACTGATACGAGAAGCGATACTGAAAGGAATAAAATTTCGATACTTTTCGAATCTCTTTCTCACTTTTTCAATAGTTAGAACATACAAATAAGTTTTCATTCATTTTTTAGATTTGTAGCTATATGGAAATGCTGATGTTATGATAAAAATGATAAATTATGGTTTATAATTCTTTTGATTGATTCTTTCTTTCCTTTTTCTTTATACAGCAAATGAAGAGTCTCTTCTATGGAAATGGTCTACTCTTGATCCCAATGGGAGGCAAAGTGCCCCTTCTCTTCTTTATTTTTTGTAGCATTCCTATGGGAGTTGTTCGCGCGGGCATTCCACCTTTTCCTTTGTCTCAAGCTACCGCCCGCCCCAAACGCCCCGAAAACCTCACCCCAGATGAAAAAGTAAGAATTTTATCTGAAAGGGGAAGTCCAGTAGCAGCCGTTTTACAGTATATTGAGAATATATCTGCCTTGCATTTAAATGGCTCTTGTCGTCGGTCTTCTCTTGATGAGTTTACGAGTAAAGAATTTGATTGGCGCCAGTTATCAAAATTAGGAAATTTTGAAAAACAGATGAATGCTGCTGTAAAGACTGCCAATATTCTGAACCATTATTTTTTAACAGCCCCAAATGACACGGAGGTAAGTTATGTTTATGATTTAATTTAACTTTTATTTTGAAATTTTGTGCCATTTCTTATTCTGAATGAGAAATGGCACAAATTCATTCAGAATGAGAAATTCTGAATGAGAAAAAAGGTTGAAACAGATTTCGCCCTCTTGTGTATCATCTTTATGCTACTGATTAACATTTTAAAATGTCTAACTGAACTTTTAAAAGAGAAGGAATTTTTTTTCATCTTTCTTTATTACCCACATACTAATAAGAGTAATCAGGTACAATATCTGCAATCATTAAATGCAATTTAAAGATTAATTTTCTTTCTTTCCTCAGATTAATGCCCTTTTCTTCTACTCTCTGGTAAAAGCCAACATAGAAAGTGATCCTTCACTGTCAAGTAGCAGCATTGTTCTGGCTTCCGAGCTAGGAGAACTTTTTGTCCCTTTTACTTACAGAAGAAGCGATGGAGCTCTAAAGACTTCTGGTTTAGGAAGCTGGTTACTGGATCGATGGCCAGGAAATGATTGGTTTTGGATGCTGCAAGAGGGAAACTATTCGGAGCTTTTTGGTCAGGTTTGGGAATGGTACTGATTTAGTGGTTACAGTAGAAGATGGATATTGGACAGCACCCTATATTGACTGTAATTTGACCACTATGTGGCATATTACATATGGTGTTCCATTCTTCTCTAGAAGCAATGATGAACTGTATTTCAAGTGAGTAAATATTCTTCTTTGTTATTTCTATTTTCAGAGATTATTATATATAAACTCACGGAACAACGGGCAGAGATCGTAAGACCTTACAACAGGATTTTTTACTTCACAATTATTACATTGTTTTATTTTATTACATTATCTTACACAAGTATAATGTTCTTACGTAAGTTCAGAATCATCAAATATTGAACACAAACCTCTTTCACGTCGAAACATTTTCTGCAGACAAAAGCTGTATGATTTAGCGTCAATATAAATAAACGTAATGTCTCAAACTATTCTCAAGATCTTCGACATCCACCCGAATGGTTTTCGATAATCCAGTTGAATTTTTATGAAGAAGTAAGTTGATTGCTATTTCGTTCGCATTAAAAAAATAATAAATTGAGTGCTGTCTTTTATGGAACAGAATGCAATGGAAAATTTTCAAAATTACATTAGCAAGAAAAGTCGCTTTAATAGATATTATATGCGACTTCATTTAAAAATGGATAAACAATAACGATGCAACGTAAAAAAATTGTGATAAACGTTTTACTTCATTTTAGAACTACATCCGTAATGTTCATCTGTTGGTTAGCCGCCCAGATGGTATAGTGTTTAGAGGAGCCTACTGTGATACCGAAGGACCCGGATTCGAATCCCGTAGAAGATATTGATGCTTGTAAATGTATAGTGTCTCTGCGGCATGGGGGCACTCTAAATATTCGACTAAGCGAAAGTCCACTCGAGAGGCTGGTGGTAGGAGAAGAGGGTAGGAGACATTCGGACCCATCCCCCGAGGTGCTCTCCTTCAAAATTGGGGGTGGAAATGAACGAAGTCATACTGTCACTTGTATGGTTCTCAAGGCTTTGCCATCTTGCTCTCCTTGTCACTATGAATTTCATGGACTTGTTCTGATGTCACTGTCAGGCAAGTGAGATAAGTCACAACACAACATCTGTTGGTTATCTAATTAAAGAAAGATCAACCTGTTTTTTTCAGACTTGTACCGGTATGGTTGACTCAAGTTTGTCAGGATCTAACACCAGCTTTTATGGTCGATAGGATGTTATAATCGATTAAGATGTTTTATATGGTTAAGGCCTCCGGAATCTCTGGAAGTATGCCGCAGGAATTTTTACGTATCTGGCATTTGACATTTGTCGAGCTTTTCTTGTATATGAAAAAATATGCAATAAACCCACTGGAGATATGAAATGAGTTTACGAGGGAAGAAAAGTTCATGTGTTAGAAACACTAAAAGATGGAAAATTTTTCCAGTCAAGGGGGGAGGTAAGATTTTGGGAACAGTTATCTTCTACTCTAATCAGAAGGTAAATTAATGCCACATATGTATAAAATAATAATTACTACTCGTAAATCGTAAATATGCAAACTAATCATGCTGCGATCATTAATTATAATTTTTTACTAAAGTACAATCTCATTTTATTATTGTTCTTCTTCGGTTAATTTGTAATGTATAGGATTGATCAGCTCTGGATTGCTGCGATTATGGGTATACATATGGATCTGCAAATTTATTTCTTTGTTCTGAAGAAAAATGGGTTTTCTCGAGTGCGAATATATTTACATAAATGTTATTGTCAAATTAATATTTAATACTTGTTTCATATTTGTCTTTACTTAACGAAATATTCCTCCATACTTTTGAACATTTAATTAACGTTTTACGAAAAGAATTTGATACGCTTGGTTTTAAAGCATCACCATTTAAGGGGGAAATGGCGCATGTAAAATATTATTCAGGAGATATTATCCTTCGGAGAAGATTGTTGTATCATACATGCATACCGCCTTGCGTTATCATTTTATTTATATTTTTAAAGTTATGCTCGTATGATTTGCCTTCTCACGGATTTTTAAAGACGAAAATTCTAAACCTGAGACAATGGTAGATTAATCGATGGAACGCGAAACTGACGTTCTTCTTGCAGTAATCGGTTTAGGTCTTCATTATAAAAAAAGTACAGCATTAACTACCATTTCATAATATTTTTTTATTTTAAATATCAATCATTTGATTTCTGTTTCAGAATTTAAAAGGCTTTCTTTCAAAAAGAAAAGAATTTTATTAGATACGAGAAGATTATGATATTTTTTTATATAGATATTATTTCTGTGGGTAGGAGATGATTAAATTTTAAAGAAGTTCCCCATTTTTAAAACATCCGCAGTAGTATTTTACTCGCATGGAAAAGAAAGTCGAATCGCAGGATATCTTTTGTTTGGCTTCTTCGGTATTTTAGCTTCGATGCGTTTTTGAGCTATTAGTTACTGTATTTTTTCTGCTTTCCCAGGAAAAATTGAAAATCGCTCAAAACAATACCTTTATAAGAATTATAGGTGGCGCTCAGTCCATCCTGACAGAAGCCATGCAATGCAGATTAGTCTGGAATTACTGGCTGACCGGAAGCAAAGATCTGGTTTGAAACTATTTGAAACCTTCAGAGGAGTGATAGTCTTTAGCTAACTGCTCAGTTTAAATTAAAAACTCAGGAAACCTTCTTAGACTTAGCAAAAGAATTATCAGAGTTTCACGTGCTTGTCCTTAATAGAAATCCTGTGCTTAAACCAAAACATATATCGGAGACATTCGATACAATCAACCACTATCTGGACCTGATTCCTTCCATAAACAAGAAATGTTATACAGATACAGAGCTTAAAATAGCTATAGCTACAATTGAGAAAAGATAACTTCCTGCAAACTGGTTGCATGCTTACACGGATAGTTCTGCTATGGATGCCTTTTAAAACGATGAACCTGGGGTACATTAAAAACATCTTCACCAGATCTGTCGGTAAATTCTTCAATAACTTTGCTGGTGAAGTGGCTGCTGTTTTCTTAGCTCTTGAGAAAACTCGGAGGAGAATGGAGTGATTTATTGACTTAGATTTATTGACTCCCAGGCTACCGTTAAGGCACTTTATTATTTAACAATATCTAAATGTTTCAAATTAGACAAAAAAGCAATGTTAGATTGGCGTAGATTTTGAATAAAACCTTGCCTATGTCGAAGACGATGTGAATATAGGTATCTCTTCTTCAGGAGCAAAAATGTTTTACTCTCGGAAACGACAGAATATGTCACATTATCCTCGAAATAGTTAAAGGTTTTTAAAATATATGCCGATTTAGGACTGCGTTTTCGCTTACTTCTAAATTTTACATTGGCATGTTTTTCTTCCATTTAGATGTACATATTTATTAAATAAGAAACTTTCTTAGGGAAAGGCTACATAAGCGAATCATTATGTGCCTTCGTACATTTTTCATTTGCGTTCTATTTATCTGTGCTCTCTTCTTTATTAGCAATGTAAGTAGTACATGTACTTTAAAATTAGAATGAAAGCAACATGCATTTATAAAATTTTAATTGGCAATTGTTTTTAAAGTAACATTTCCCAAGTTATCCTTTATGTGTGTACATCTTTAATTTACTCTATATTGCATATGTACGTAACCGGTTGTAATTTTGAAACTCTAGATTTTATAGAATTTTTCATCTCATTTCAGTTTGAATAGGTTCTCATCCTAAAGAATGCTGCTTAGCTAAATTACTTTGAAATGTGTACCAATATCTCCATGCATTCAGAGCCATTTTCTGTAATTACAGGGGCGTTGTGTCGGTGACTTTACCAATGATTAACGTCGACATAGATCAGTGTGACGATGGAAACCGTCTATCTGCGTTCTCATCATCTCACCACTGTGATACAGCAACAACACAGGTTCGTTTTATTGACACTTGAGTTATAATTATTTAAGAAAGTATTAAGTACCAGATATAACTTTGTTCAAAAATGTATTCTTTCCTTAACATATCTCCATCTTTCAATACACTTTAAAGAAGTATTTCATACGTTTTTTGATTCACACTTAAGATCTTAAGTTGGTTAATGGAAGATAAGAAAAATGCTTAAATTTTAAACTTTAATGAGAGAAAGGTTCTACTATTTAATAGTTGTTAAGGATTTGCAAAGTATTAATGATTCAAAACTAAAGCCATTATGTGTTTCCTGTTACCAATTACTAGAATGTATTGAATTTTAATGCGCCTTTGTAACGAGAATCCGAGTTCTAATGTGGAGTAAATAATCAAGTTAGTAGTATAAGCTTTCCGTTTCAATCCTTATACTTTTTACTTTGAACTGTTTTATAATAAGTTTAACTTATAATGCTTAATAGCGAATGTATGATCACTATGCTATTTTTCCTTTTCATTTTTTCCTTTTCTAAATTTATTTTAGACGTATTTATTTAAACTATATATTTACAGACAGAGTGAGAGAAAGAAAGAGAGAAGATGAAGAAATAACTAATTAAAAACAAATTTAAATTACTGATTTAAACATTCAAATAAATAAACATTATGGGCAGTTGCAACAATAATTAGAAGCAATTTATTGAATTTAAATTCTTTATAATTTCTTACTTTTCAAATGCAATAAACATAGGTTAAAAAACAATTGAATAAAATAGAAATTCTTACATATAATTTTATACGGCTAATAATTTAAAACAAAAGGAAAAATTTTTTTAAACAATTAACAAATAAACATAATTTCAATCCGAGAACAACAAAAGCTATTAAGCTAAAATAATTTTAAAAATTTGCTATCTAAATAGCATCAACTTTGATCTTTTTCCAGGGAACTGATAAGATTGATCCAGTTCACACTGTTCCAATATCACGGAGTTTATTCGAATTACTCTCAGAATTTTCATCCATCAAATTCAATTTCAGTAAATTTTGAATTGTCTGCAAATATAACATTATTTCAATATGATAATCATCGCTCACCATGGACTTTTAGATCTCCAGACGTATTTTCATTGTTTCCTTGTCGGTGAAGAATTTCTATCTTGCTGATCGCCCATTGTGTCTGTGTGCCCTAATGCCTCTTGTAACAACTGCAAGCTTAATTTTCATTGCAAGCCATTTTTATAAGTCCACTGCAAGTTTTAAATTTTGCGTTTTATCTGATTTTTCTCTGATCTGCTGATAAATCTCCGATTATTTCGTGTTAGCTCGAAATGTGGTCCAGACTTCAGTGCATTTTGAAATGTTTTAAAACACCAAAACTGGCTAAATGTTTTGCATCAAGGATTTTCTTTTTTTTTTTTTGAATATTTGAATACTTTCATTATCTTTAAAATTGCGAACAGCTAAATTTCGAGCAGAACTAATCTTTAATTTGTAGCGTCTTCCCATGTTAATTTGAGATAGAGATCTTATAGAATCATAAGGATTTTTGATCGCTGGAGACGTGAAAAATATGCACTGCCTCGCTGGGACCTGAACCTGGACCTCTCGAATACACCCGAATGCGCTAGCGTTACACCATGAAAGCATGCTCGAAGGAGGGAGAAAATACGTTATAAACTGTTAGTAATTTTGATAAACAAGTAAAAATTTTCAAGTGCAGACGGTGAATTTTGTGATTTTACTTTAAAAAAAAGCACTACAAGAAAAAAAATCGATGTTCGCATTGTAATGATAGTTAGGTGAGTTATATGCTGAGATGTGAGCAAAAATCTTGTATTGGGGTGTTGAAGAAACTTTTGTCGCCGGCTAGGTGACTTTAAAGCGAGTTTTCTTGAAGCTGCCAGAAGTGCATGAGCAAATCTAAATATAACGATTACATTGGAGCCAAGAATTAGCTCTGTTATTCAATTCACAATCGTAGGAATGTACTTAGCTCTTGCTTGGAGATTATTGATTTAGACTTCGCTGTGTGAGGTGAATTTGGGAATCTATAATATTCTTTGATTGCTAAGAAGAATTTGCATTACCTCTGTTTTTTACTGAGCTTTTCATAGCTGTTTGCCTTGTCGATGAGCTGTTGTTTATTTCCATGGAGGGTCAATTTATACTTGTTTATCTGACGCTGTTTAAAGTAAATCTCTACGAACACGCTTCTTGCAACAATATCATCATGCTAATAAAATATCAGAAAATAAATCTGCTGACTTAAATTACTTTCTAATGCGAACTTTAATAAAATATTCTTTAATAATTTTTCCCCCTAAACCTCAGGCAGCGATTGTTAAATAAGTGGTAAAAGATGGAATTCTCTTTGGATAAAACTGCACTAGTTATTAACTATGGGGCCGAGTTGATCCTATACTACTGAATTTTGCATGTAAGTTAGGAACATTTTGCGTTGAAGCACAATTAAAATATTCCTTAAACTACCTCACAAAAATTTCTATCTTATTTAGATAGTCTGATTATTAGAAACATATGCCTAGTATTAACAGTTAAGTTTTTAGAGACATTAGGTAATTTTTGGAAACAGGAAAGATGAAAAATATGCCACGCCTTCGCCGGGAATCGAACCGCGGACCTCTCAATTACGCGCTGAGCGTGCAACCCACTATACCACGAAGGCTCGCTAAGAAGGCGGGAAAAATACCTTATAAGGTCATAAAGCTTATAGTCATTTTTCACAAACACCCTGTATTACATACAATCTTTCTCTGCCTGCATATATATTTATACATGCGTGTGTGTGCATACGCAGTGATCCCTTTGCCGGCGTCAGACTATCGAGCTGTTACGAGGTGTCAGGCGACATGCTTGACATTACAAAAGAAATAACTTGTTCGAAAATGTCTCCAGTTGACATTAAAATGATCATAACTGCACAACCAGCGTAAAAAAAATTTAGCGATCTGCACTGTGTCTGTCATCAAAGCCACTCGATTTCAGGGGTCTGACCGTTGATTCTGCAGCTCCCTGATATCATCTTTAACAAATCAGAGAATGTCAATAAACCGAAACTTAAAAAGGAGTCACTAATGCAATCTGCAAAATGTCCCAGACAGAGCAAACAGATAGAACGCTCTGAAACTCGACTTGAGAGACTCTTGCCGCAGATAAAATTCTCACATAATGAGGGCAATAACTGTACTTACCTTTGACATAATTGCTCCCATGCATTCAAATGTTGGTTATAAGTTAGTTGTTTTGATATTGGTCATAGCTATTAAATTTTATTATAATATCATAAATTTATAATAAATGTGTTTTAGTTCAATGTGAACCGTAATGCGCAGCCTACATACAAACCGCAACACAACTATGTGTACATATATAGCATGTAAAATTAAAAGTAAACTGAAATCAAAGCAAGGCAATTCCTCAACAATATTAATAATTGCATCATTGTAAAATCTAAACAATTCGAAATAAAAATGATCATGGTAATACAAGCTCAAAAACTAAAAATGCAAAAAGGGAAAATATATACAAGATCATAAAAATAAAAAATTAATCTCCCTTTATTGAAACTCCAATTCAGAAATCGTCAGAGGGAAAGGAATTAAAAGCTTCATAGAAGTTGATTAATAAGCTTCGAAAACGTGTGCATGTAAGCTAAGATACAGAGGGACAAAGCAAAATACTAATTTGAATTTACAGTAGTCTCTTCATTCTTTGTTTTATTTGGATGTTTCCCCTCTGCGTTCTTTTCATAACGCTGCTTAATGACGTAGGTAATTTGCAAACTGAGCATCAAACCAGCAATATCGCAAATTTTAACAGCCAATAAAGAGATTGCAAATCAAAACCTTTTCCCTTTTGAAACAGGCCTCCATCTTGAAATACGTCCTTTTTTGCTTTCACTTCTCTTGCTAACAAACGTGTTGCTTTTGCTCTAGTCGAAATTTCATTTTAAAAATGTAGGGGTACCGATGAAAAATATTTGTCTAACTAGGAATAAAAAAAGTATTCTAATCTCGCCCTTGACTACAAGTTTCATCATTCCATTATGCATCTGCAACATATCTATATAATGCCAAAATTTCTACATATTATTTATTAGATATACACTGCCTTCCAAAATTAAGCACGCGAACTTAAAATCAGGAAAAATGGGAAAATAAAGCTTTGTAAAGCAAACAAACAAACTAAACTTACACTATTAAAGTGTGTGATCACTCCGAACCTTCACGAAAACTTTACATCAATAGTTTATGCTTTCAATGAGGTGATCAACCATCGAAGATGCTAGCAATGGCCATTCCTCCATTTACGCAGTCTTCAACTGCTTGAGACTGGCTGGAGGAGATAAAAGTGCAAAAACAGCACATCTAAGGACATCCTAAAAATCTTCACTGCTATTAATATCGGGTGATAATGGCGGCCACATCATAAGAAAATGTCCTTACTCTCCAGGTAATCGTTAACGGTACTGGCTCGATAGGGAAAGGCATTATTATCCATTAGGAGGTAATCAGAATCAACTGCTGAAGCATATAGTCTCATAATGCGGTGTAGGACTTCATTCCGATGCTGCGCAGCTGTAACAGAATTGTCCTTAAAGATGTGCAGCTGGGCACGGTTTCCAAAGAAATTCCAGCCAAAACCATCACGCCGCCGCCTCTGAATGCGTGATTTTTGATGATATTATAGGCCTGATTTCGAGTGTTTGTTCTCTTCTGCCTCTGACACTCTTATCATCTATTTACAGGGCAAATATGGGCTTACCTGTGAACAGGTCTTTGTCATAATCTGAGACAGTCCTAGTGAGATCGTGACAACACAACTTTAATCTTGGCTCTTCGGACTGGACGGTTAGAGGAATATAAGCACATGGTAAACGTGCTGCAAACATGAATGTAATAGCTGTGGAGGTTGCTTGTCGATTCTGTTTGGTTACTGGAGCAATATATGATCTGCAAAAGGGCTGGTAACACTTTGTAGACCAACTACAGTTCTCCGGGCAACTATTTGACTTGTTTAGAATGGTTTCCAAATTCGAGATATTACCGAATGATCAAAACTAAAGAAACGAATTATATCTTTGCACAAACATTTTTTTTTTTGTCATTTTTGAAGTAAGACTGCGTATTTGAAGGTGATTTATTTACTTAATAGATTAACGCGAGTTAAAAGTTGAGAACCACAGGACAACCAGATTTATATGCTGAGAAATGGACGGATGATGCGTTTACAAATGCAGTGAAAACGAAACCGATAGTAATGTATCTTTCTAAATTGAGCAGTCTCGGTTTGTTAGACAGAAAATTCAGAATAAAAGTATTGGAGATTTTACTGACATTTCGAAGTAGGCAGTAACACAGAGAGAAGAATTTCTGCTACATTTTGTCGTGTCTTATGGTGTGCAGTCTAGAATTCTCTTTTTATTACGGAAGGTCAGCGTGTCCACAGAAAGCGCAATTAATTCTCAGATTGGTAGAAGATGAACTTTTGGAGTACACTGATTAGCTAGTGTTTCAAATTCTATTGTTTTACACGAGTCAGAAAGTGTTGGTTCTGTTCTGCAGGACTGAGTAAGGATACAAGAAGAGTTCTCGAATAATCTCATTTTGCCCGGGCGTCCCATATAGTCCGCTTATAATATAATAATTTACGTACGGGCCTAGGAAGATGTTTATTATTGCTTTACTATTGCTTTTAATAACATCGGGAATATTTAATTTTCTCAATTTATGTAAATCTGACTTTTAAGATATTTATTCTCTTAAACTTTAGATCATAGTTTTATACTTGCAATTTTCTTCAGAAGACAACGTCGGTCATGGTTCCAATTTTGTTACCTTTGTTTCATTATTATCTTACTTTCTTTCCCATTACGTACACTGAAATTTATTTTTTTAAATTTCTTTTTCTTGTGCATTTTTAGTGTGTACCAGTACATGGAAAAGGGTTTCGGCGAGGTGCTTACAAATGTTTATGCAAGCCCAATCATTACCCAGCATCTACAGAAGCTCAACGCCGAGGCTCCAATTACTACGATGGTGAAGTTGTAGAAAATGCCTATGTTGAAAGTGTGCTTTTAGGGCCGAACAAAGTTTCAAGCAGTTTCCAGTGCTTGCCTTGTCGAGTTGGTTGTGACGTCTGCATAGGCGACCAACCGTGTTACGTTGAATACGATCTGATGTTACGCAGTCTTGTTCTTTGTTTCCAGAGTTTCTGCAGTACCATTGTTATCATACTTATCATCGTTGTTTTCTTTTTGCGGAAGAAAAGGGTAAGTTATAATACGTATTATATAATATCAACTACGCAAATTTGCTTCTTTACGGCAAATTTAATTCTTGATATAATTCTTGAAATTTAATTCTTATAATTGAATGCTTGGTTAAATTTAAAGCATCTGTGTGTGACTTGTGGTAGGAAAGGACTTTTCACTGCCACAGTCAAACTGTGATGCAAGTGCAGCACACTGATTCAACACAGCAGAAAAGCTAGGTAAAAGGGTGTAAGTTTTTGGACTGCAAACAACTGAAGAAAAAAGCAATACAAAGATAACTATTCTGAATAAAATGATTGCAATGTTGGATTGTGCATTGAGTTGTGTTTTGAGCTGTATTTGTTCTCAAATAAGTATAGAATGGAAAATGTTTACAAATTCAAAAGTATCAAGTTATGCTGCAAGACACTTTGTCGTTCAATTTATCACACGAAAGGCAATACTTTGGGGGGGGGGAGGAAGCTTTAGTTTTTCAGAATTTACCAAATTCTATAGCAGAATTAAAGTAAATTTTATTCTTGATTTTGTGAAAAGCTTTATTAATTTAATCACGAAAAAGTGTGATTTAACACTTTAAAAATCTGATATTTGATCCTTTTCATGAAATTAATCTTAACAGCGAAATTCTGCCATTCTTTAACGTATAACGGTTTGCGTCACCTACCACCCTCTAGAACGCATAGACGAAACTCCTATGCCGTACGGATACGTCTGCAAGTGTGAGCACTTCATCTCCAAATCTGGACTCTGTAAATGCTGTAAAAGATGTGAAAAAAAAAGGATTGATCAGTCCGAATTTAGCGTGATTGAACTGTTTAAATGAAAGTGTTTGAAAATTTTATTACGCTTCGATTTTTTTTAACCGTAGGACGAATACAACATTTGCGTGCTTGATAGTAATAGACTTAACTGTGAGATAAAATATTGAGGCAGAACTATACTGCTTTCACTTTCAGTTTGAGTCTATTTTAGTTTTACGTAATAAGGATGAAATGTTAATTAGGCGGAGGCTTTAAAAATTGTAATATAATGAAGAATTATGAATTCAAGCGCGCTTCGAACACAATAATTCTGAGTAAAATTACTGCTTACTAATTCTGGAACTGGACCTAATTCTGCATAATACAGTGTTGATCAGAATATTAGATTAATGGAGCCAGCTAATCAGTAGTTTAGCATATTTTAACCGGATATATGGCTCTACCGTGCGTGATGAGACTTCACATATTGTTCTAATTTTAGAATTATGCTGCCATGGAAAATGAAATAGCGACTTAATTTGAAAGTTAAATTTTACATGCTTTTTGTAAATCGCCAGTTATAATTTTACACAAAAGAACTAAGCAGTTTCTAAATTTTTTGCAGATTAAATTTGCATTTACGCTTTTAATAATTTAGCTTTTTTCATATATTAATCTATCATGTTTACTGCTGTTTTAGATTTTCTCCACTTCAATGTGGGTAATGCTAGAAACGATACTTGTGGGGGCGCTTCTCCTCTATCAGACGGTAAGTCAATGCTAAGGTATATTCTTAATGCTTAATGTTAAAGCATTTTGATCTTGAATTCTTCTTCATTGTAAATACATATATTGTGCAAATTTAGCTTTGAAATACTTACAAAATCTTTTTTGTAAGTCGTAACAAGACTTACAGATAATATCATATCTAAGTAGAAATCCGATGAATATGAGTGGTTAATAAATAATCGAGCAAGGTCATATTCAGGGAAATAAAAAAAGTCTAACTTTTATAATTATAATGAATGAAACATTCACATGAAATAAATATAAAAATAAAAACATTAAACGATGTATCTAAATTAGCAGTATTTAACGACACTAAGATTTCCCAATCATTTAACCGCCATAACTTTCAAATCAAGGAAAATTTCTTAATAAACTCAAATAATAAAGAATCAAAATTTTTATTAAAACATTTTAAAATGATGAGGACAAATTCTGAATGAAACAAATATGCGATCGCAAGAGGATAAATTATAAAAAATTTGATTTTTTAAATAAAAAAAATAAGGACAAATTCTATATTAAAAACAATAGCCAATCTTATGAGGACAAATTCTGCATTGAAATAACAATAGCTGATTTCCCGAGGACAAATTTTGAAACGTTTAAAAATGACAAGAGCAGGTTCTATGTTTAAAAGACATAAAGCAATCTTACTAGGACAAAATCATATTTTTCTATTAAAAAATGTATAAAATTAGATGAAGATAGAAAATAAACATAAAAATGCATTAAAGCTCAAATGAAGATAAATTATAACTTTCTAATTAAAAAAATGCATTAAAAAGACGTTAAAAATAAGAAAATCGGATTTCTGAATAAATTTTAGCTAAATACTTTAAAACCATTTTCTCGAAAATAACATTTACAACTTCTTCAGGCAAGTCCGTTTTAAATGTAATGTCGCAGTCTTTTATTTTATCAGTATATTCAATTATGAAAAGTCTTGAATGCGTTTGATTTTTGGAAACATCAATCCAATCTATAACATCCTTCAAGAGTTCTGTAATAGTTTCTGATAATTTTTACATCTAGTAACTAATGTTAAATTTAATTTTCTCGAGTTCTTTATCATGAAACTATATCCCAAAATTTGAAATTCTGATTTTTTTTCCAATTCAATTTAGAAACATTTTCAGTCATAAACTTTTCATATAACATATGATACCTAGATATGGCATCCCAATGAATTAAGTGTTCATTCTCCATGCGAAATCTTTCTGATAGTCTTTGAAGATGACGAAAAATGATGGCACAAATGAATGGCACAAGTATTATGCCATTCTACACTGTCTTTATTTTCTAAGATAAAACGCTCTGATGATGTCTGATATTTTGAAGTAATAATCCAATAAACAGCATTTTCAAAACTTCAAATCAGGCTTTTCGATAATTTATGTGTTTCCGAAACTTCTGTCCAATTGATATTCATTTATAAGCTGTCACTTTTAAGAAGGGGCTCTTTTCAGTTTGCAATCATAACATTTATTATTAAATTTTTCTTTGAAATTAAGATTGTAATCCCCAATTTTTATTTCTCCAGTGGCTTTATCAGAGAGATTACCGTGACACTTTGTAATATAATAATTTCTTTTCCCATCATCTACTGCTAAGTTAGTTATTGTTAAATTCCATATTTTGACTGTACGTCTCAAAGTTCTCAATTTAAATTTTTCTAGTTTCAGAGTAAGATCCCACGATGTTGAATTCTTCTATTATTTATTCACAAATATTTTTATTAAATGCAATTTTTATAATGACCTAATGCTCTCGTGTGAATACCATCTTTTAAAATTCAGTTTTTGTAATCTGTAGGTGATAGTGATTTTTTATTGATTTTAATCGAATCTAAATCGTGTTCATACTTCTAATTAAATTCACTGCTCTATAATACTCATTTTTATTAAACAAACGATCTTTATTATCTTCAAATGAAATTTTGATTTTAACGACACATCTTTTTTTAAATCTTTTAATTTCTTAGTTATAACCTATTTTGTTTTACAGATGTACAATTTCGCTTTTAATCCAAAGAATTCTTTTACAATTACTCCATTATTTTCATCTTTCATTTCCTTTAAAACCTTCTTATTTACTTGAGGAATATTATACTTATTATTTTTGGATAATCAGTCATACCTTTCATATCTTCATAAAAATCATGAGTTTTAATAAAATATATGAAACTATCTGAATCCATATTTTCAATATATATACAGTAGTATAATATTATCCGAATATTTAGATTTCATAATATTATAATGAAAGCCATACATTAATTTGTTTTGATAAATATACTCATTCCAACATAGATTAGCTTATTAAAGGTCACTGAGGTTTTATTCATACTGACACCAACAAAAGTTTCATCAAATATAGTCCTCCATTTAAAGTTTAGTTTAGTAATTCACTTTTAGCTTTTTCATAATTACAGCATAATTTCACATCAGTTCTGTTTCTAATGTTTTCCATTGATTTTCCAAACACTGAATAATTCATGAATTTAAAGAAGTCTTTTTCAAAATTTAGTTCTCATTTCTGTATTCACATCTATATATATCTTTAACCAAGGATATTGTTTAAATTCTAATACTCTGTGATCCTTTTCCAATTTTTAGTTAGTAATTTAGCTTGCCTAGAGCTATCTGGAATTATATTTTCAGCCTCTAAAGGCATATTGAAATGTTTATCATGTAGAGGTTTTGGAAATTTTAAATCAACTTATGTGTACCCAATATCTGAGTCATACGTTTTATTAAATCACTTGCGTTAGATATCATTAGCATTTGTTATTTCCATAGTACAACTGCAGACCACATTTGTTGCGTTACATCATCTGTTAGAGACATAGGCACAAAATACTAGGAACTACCGACTTAGACGCCTAGCTAAACAGTAAAATAATTTTATAAGATTCCGCTGCACTCTGTTCTTTTATATTGGGAAATATGAAATAGTCGGAAGTAAATTTTAAAACTGCTTGTTAAAGAGATTCACTTAAAAAGTGAATAACATGCAAATGCTTGAGATCAGAAATACTAACTGCAATTTTTGTTGTTACAATAGGTGACTTTAGATAAAATCTGGTATTCAAAATTATATAATGTTTATGTTCTTAATAATTGCAATATGTAATTACTGAAACATAATTGAAAATAGCATTATTTTCTCATATTATTAAGGAGTAGTTACCATAAATATTCATTTCAGGTTATAATTCGTTATTTTGAGCCAAGTGTAACAACTTGTATGTTAGAACCATGGTTCCGAGGTTTGGGCTTTGCTATTTGTTATGGAGCTATTACTTTAAAAATATACAGGTAAAATTTCATTGAACAATGTTCTCATTTCAGAATTTACGGAATGTATATATGTGTAATATGTCAATGTACATAAGCGTGAATTCTTATTGAACTGAATGTTCTAAAACTGATTCAATAGAAATATTCAGATATATTATTATGTCAAACCTTGTGATTATTGAATGCTTTTGAAATTGCATCTTTATATTAATATATTGTATAAATTGTGGAAATCAGTGTTTCTCAAGCTGCTCACCCTTCTAATTCTTTAATTAGTAAAACTAAAAATATTTTTGCAAACATTATGAAGAAGATGTAAGCAAACTGAATTCGAGACGATATTGCTTTCATTATAATTATCAAAATTTTTCCATATGAAGAACAGTAGAGTAGTGAAGTTCCAGATTCTAAATTCAAAATAAGACTGTTAGTAATATCCGTATTATAGCTTGGAGTATCCTTATTTGCCTGAAAAGAAATTTTATTCGCTGTTAGAAAAATATATTCTTGGTAACATGCAACATCCATATGCAGGATACTGACCATCTAAAACAGTTACATGTATTTTATGTCATTAATAGTTGTTTGTCCTCTAATTTAATACTAGACGCTACAAAAAAAAGTATCTTTATTCAAATTTATTATGCTGTTATTTTTAATATCATAAATCCGTGTTTAGAAGAGAACTACTAAATACTGATGTTCCTATTTACCCATAGAATCCATTTCTTTTCCCAGTTAACTATGAGATATTCATAGCACAGAATCTATGAATGCGTATATAGTAGTTCGAGAATGATATAAACTGCACAAGCGAATATAAATGTGGTTGCGTGTTATACAGCATTATCTAAGTCTTACATTATCATTCTTCCGCTACGAATATGGCTTGGGAAACACTGGTTTGAATAATGAAACACTAGTAAGATTTTTCTACGTATTTTACTCTAGGATATTAGCTGAATTTCAGACCAGGAAAGCTCACAGAGTCTGCGTCCGCGACAAAGACTTGCTCAAGTATCTTCTGGCAATTATTATGGTAGTTATTGGATATCTCCTAGCATGGACTGCTGTTATTATAGACAACATGAATGAAGGTTATAGCGTAGTAGCTCACGAACAAACTCCAATGGGCCTCAAATACGTCATATGCCGAGCACTTTGGTGGGACTACGTCACCGAAGTTGGTGAGACGACGCCATTTATAAACTCAGTTCGTTGAAGTTCTACATTGTTTTTGAACTAATATATTAATACAGCTTGAGTTATTTCATTCTGTTATTCTGGGTTTTACATTCTTTTAATAAAAGGAATTTAATCTGCGCAATACTGTTGATGAATTCCTTTTAATAACATGTTTGGAATGGAAATGATTTAACTCGAGCTGCCTAAATCACGACATTTGAGAGATAGTGTAATTACTCGTGGTAAAGATAATTTGCTAATAAAACATGCTAAAGCAAATTTGCAGGTATCTCAGAGAATAATGTAATAAAACCTTGTCAGCTACTGAAAAGGAATAAAACGAAAAGAGAAATTCTGCATTCAAAGGAATGACTGAATTTCTCTTTAGGGTATTAAAAATAAAATAAAAAATATAAAAATCTGAAAGGTTTCAGATTTTAAATTACGTCCAAAGGGGCGTTTTTTTAACATTTTGTCTGTTATCTTTATTTATTAAATATCATGTTCTTCGCACTTAAACCATAAAATTAATTTCAAGAGCAATATCGCGAAATAGTTTTAAATTGAGCATATCTTTAGAATTTCTGATACAGAGTCTCACACTCTGGAGATAAAAATGTTTTTTCTGTACAACGTTGCCATTTGCTCGCTTTGGAATCCTTGAGTTTGTTAATCAAAAATTCGTTAAAGTTTTACAAAATATGAAATCAATAATGAAACAAATTCAAAATTTCAAATTTGGGCTTCCACATGTCCATATTCGCAGTAGGATTACGCCATTCAGAATTCGATGGCTCTATGTACCGTTGTTATCACAAGGCGAGAAATATACATACATTTATGCAGATTTTTCATTATTTAATTTCTTCAAATATTATGCAGGACATTTGGTGGCAACAGTTTGAAGAGTGAAACGGGCATTTATAGTGAACCAACGCAAATTCCCAAAACGAAAACAATAGTCCTTCAGGGACATCCTCCAAATGATTCTTTCTTATCGACAAAATAGTATCTTTTATTTCCGCGCATTTAGGAATTCTTCTGTACGTGAAGTTCCCCGTAACCCTTAATATTCCACGTTCTTGACTTTTTATGCCTGCAGTAGTGTCTACAAAACTAAGAAAACTATATTTTCCCTTACAAATAACAATTTGCATTAACTCGAAGTCAGTCTGGGTTCTTTATCAGGATAATCTGAGAAATATCTTGAATATTCACAAAAGTAGTAGCTTGCTAGTTGATACCCATTTCTAATTCACTGAATAGTGTTACTACAATAACAGTAGAAAAGGTTTGGTACACTACAGGTACTTCGATGTATGCATTTTGATTCTTTTCTTTTTTTAATATTATTAAAGCTAGTTACAGATATTCGGTGTATTATGTATACAAGAATATGCAGCTTTTACAGTTACACGTATAAGTTGAAAATATAGATATGCCCATTGCATTTCATGAATGTTTTTTTAATGCGGCTTGAAAACAGAGAATGAAATTTGTGAAAATTTGAAAGTATTCTACATATTCAGATAAGTAATTCAAAGCAACCTCTAACAGTGCATATATTTTATATGGAAATGCTACTTTTCGATCAAGATAGTCAAACAACATCTGTTCTTCAGAGGCAATCTGAAGTTGCACATGTGGAGAGTTTAAGTTCTTCTCTGTTAAAGCTTGTAAGATCCACTTGCTTATCTCCTAAAAGTGACAACTGTACGTATAGTAAGTGCGTGTAGGAACTACATAGGAGAAGGGTTAAAAGTACCCTTTATTAAGCTCTTTAATATTCACAATGCGTCGACTTGAAGCTAACACACTACGCCTCACTCGGGCGGTAACTGAAATAACAAGAACTGAAATAACTGAATAACAACTGAAATAACAAGAACTAAACTAAAAAATTCGAAAATAATAACAAGTAGTAGAAATTCTCTACAGGGATTAGAAAACTCATGTTACTTAAAACCACGTCAAAAATCTAGTAGCAGCAAAGTAAAAGCTGTTACGTAAACCAGCAGTAACTGCAGAAATCGAAGCTCACGCTGCAGAGGTGACGGCGAATGCTCAAACTCTCTAATTTTCCTTCTAGAACTCAGTATTTAAACTTTTTCTCCTCAAGGTAGAATTTGCATTACGTCACGCGTGCTACCAAATTTAAAATATAAATCCCTACAGGTTAACACAACCGATTAATTTACTTTATCGAATGTGAAACAGGAAGTGCAAACCCAAATATTAATTCGCTTCTTAAAACCAAACAGAAGCAAGGATCAACTAGTTTAAGATAATAAAAGAAATTAATGAATGTGAAAACTTATGACCTATCAACTGAAGACTTGAACTGCATTATTTCGAAAGGAAAAGCTCAAATTTGTAATCGAGAAATCACTATAAGTGCTGTACTGAGGAAAAAACTAATGAAAGAAAGTATTTTAAATACTACAGGGTAAGAGAAATAAAAAAACATGACAATTGTTTCTCTGAATGTTAAACGCCCCTGATACAAATTTATTCTGTTCATTAGATTAATACATCTAATGTGAATGAGTATAGTCTACTCCCAATTAACCAGGGGAACGCGGATTAAGCGGGCATTGCCTAAAAAAAGCTGTCGAGTCGTTAGTTTTTTTGGGGCAGGAGATGTGTAAAATAAGCAATGCCCTCCCTGGGACTCGAAATTGAATTTCTTGAACAAGCACCGGGTTTGCTACCGTTACCCCATGAAGGCATGCTGGAAAGAAAGAGAAAATACCTAATAAAAGTTTACTTTTTGTAGAACGATAAAAACATTGCTCACATAAATCATAAGAATAACGCAAAAAATCTGCGAGAAATTCAAAAAGAAGAAGAAATTGTGCCAGACAGCATTAATGATAACAGAAGAAGTCACGTTATTTAGGAATTGTTTTTACAGTTAACAGTACGTAATTTAATTGCTTATAATTGGTAATATATAAAGAGTGTTATATCGCCTAAAAATAAATTGGCAAATCATAACAATAAAGTAATCGTGTAGCTATTAATATTTTGTTTCCCACTGAGCAAAATACAAGAGTAAGTTTAAACAGAAACATTAGTCATTCGCTTTTGAACTGGGTTCTTCTTTTAAATGATGATTGAATTAACGTAACTAAGTGAATTTATTCTCCAAAATAAACTGCTTACAAATTTAGTTAAATTGTTTGCAGCATTTTTCTGTTAAACATAGATAATTTCTCTTTTCTATGTTTTTTCAACCGCTGTTGGATTTTAATTTCGATTAACATTGAACACATTCCTCATTATTACACCGGCTAGTTGGAAGTCTGTTGCAGATAAATATTTATTTGGAAGTAAACACTCTAATGTGAAATTTAAAATTAGGCAAAAAAAAAGAAACCTTAGATTGGATACATTTTTTGACTAAAACTTCATAGTTTTTGGGAGTGATCAGCCGCAGGTCTTTTCCTTCAACAGCAAAATTTTTATTTACTATCTTCGCCAATCTAAGGTTGTTTTCTTGCCTGATTTTAAACATGTGAATATTTGTTTGAGAAATATATTGTAGAACATATAGCGTTTTAATTGTTTTAGAGTTACTGATCCAAATATACTTTATCATTATCACATTTCTTTTATATGTTTTTTGCAGTAATGTATCTGCTTTTTTACGATCATAATACTAAAACTATATGCATTGTAATCCAGTGTTCAAAACATAAAAAGCGAACCACTGTTAGAAACCGTTAAGCAAGGTATTCAACTGAAAGCAAAATGAAAAATTATAAGGTATTTCTCCCGCCTTCTTGGCGTTCCTTCGTGGTGTGGTGGTCTGCACGCTGGGCGCGTATTCCATAGGTACGTAGTTCGATTCCCGGCGAAGGCGTTGCTAATTTTTCAACTTGCCTGCTTCCAAAAAATACCTAATGTCTCTACAAGATTTCTAAACGTAGCTCCTCATTGTTTTCTAAACAACAAATGCAATTGTCATGATATAAGCATTCAGAAAACAGCATTTTCTTGTTTGTATAGAAAGAAAGGAAACAAAAGTAAGGGTCTTTAACTTTAATCTAAACAAAAGTAAGGGATGCAAGAGAAGCCTAAGTCCTGCAACAGTTGGTGGAGAAATTTCTGCCTTTAAAAGGGATACAAAAATCTGGAGCACTTTAGGAAAAATGCCACTTTGAACGAAAGATGGTGCTTGATCGTTATCTCTTTTGAAAATAATGCATTCGTGGAGTATTTTCAGAGGAAATCTGGACCCTACTGTATGCTAGACGTGGAGAAAACTACAAAACCATTGATACTGTCAGATCATTCTTCTAATGAGAGTAAAACCTAAGGTTCAACAACATTCATACAGCGGTTTCAGGATGGCCATTGAAGAGTTCCGTTCTTTTTAAGGAAAGCGATTTAGAAATCGACCGCTGTGGATTTTTGAGTAAACATTTCAAAAGAAACCACTTCTTAAAATTTTAGACTCAAAACTGCATAAATTCTTCTTAAAGGTTTGAAGTTTATAGCAGCTCCATTAAATTTACAATTCAATTTCGGTGATCCTTATATAATATCTGAACTCATGGAAACATTATGGTATTTATTCTGTGAAATGAGCTTCTTGCATATTTTTCAAACTGAACTGTGAAATTTCGAATTTACCAGTAGAAAGAATAGATAAATAAATCTTATGTTACTTATGGTTAGTTCTCTGATAATTCTTTCAATTTTATTTTTGATAAAATTATACAATAAACTTCTGCAACATAAAGCTTTCCACTGTCATGATAACCTGTTAATTTTAGTAAACAATATTATTTCTAATCCTTTCTATTTTTCTCTACACATTTAATCTTTCAAAGAATTCTTCCTTGTTTATTTCTATTTTTATCGTTAAACCATAGGAAAAGTATGAATGATATACACATCGCCAGAAGAATCGATTTTTTCCCACCAAGTATTATTGTTCTGTTACAAAACAGGGTTATGCACGAAAGGTCGTCGCAGGACCAAAGTTTAAAGGATTAATTGTACTTTTCATCTGCTTGGTGTCCAGAATTTTCTTTACAATTAGTCATTTTTTACCATAGACTTCTAGCTCTGGCTACAGCTTTCCCATAGACTGATTATTTTAATCGTATGAAAGGAAAACCTTTCATACGATTAAAATAATCAGTGCTACCATCTGCTACCACAGTAACTGATATTACTCCAAAATATTTAATTATACCACATAGTTATTTGCGATAGCTGTTAGGTATAATTAAAACTGTTTGTATCATTAACAAGCTGTTCTTATCCATGTTCGTAAGCTGCAGATACCTTTGCTTTCCTTTCATACGATTAAAATAATCAGTGCTACCATCTGCTACCACAGTAACTGATATTACTCCAAAATATTTAATTATACCACATAGTTATTTGCGATAGCTGTTAGGTATAATTAAAACTGTTTGTATCATTAACAAGCTGTTCTTATCCATGTTCGTAAGCTGCAGATACCTTTGCTTTTGATATTATGAGTTATCCAAAAAGAATTGCTCTTCACAGACAAGCTAGCATATGGGCACACCGAAATTTACACATCGCAGTTATTACATTACCAGTGGCACATTTGTAATTACATAACTAATGACCCGATTATCGACCTAATTTGCATTTGGCAATCTATGTGACTATTGGTGATGAATGTTTTGATTCCCCCAAAAATTGAGTACAGTATTTTTTTAGTCTTTCGAATTCGAAATATTAATGGAAGACAATGACTTCAACATTATTAGTCGGTGTCTATTAAAATTTACTAATTTTTCATCTTGTATTCAATGTCTATTAAAATTTACTTTACTCATTTTTCATCTTAATATTTCTTCACAAAGTTTCTCTTTTCTAGTAGCACTATCTGGTAGGGAGACCACTAGTACTCAATTCAACGGGTACTACTTTCGATGCCAATTTAAAGCAAAGCGTTTCGTACTTATTCTGAAATATATATGATGTAACAAATATGAATCTTTGTATCCTTTGCCTGAAATATACATATAACACGTTAACCGTAAATTCGAAAAATATACGAATCGTATTTTTGTATTTAAAACATTTTTTTCTTCTCGTCACTAATTAGATACTTTTAAGTGCATCTTTCCAAAACATTTTTCCTGATTTTCCATTTTATTTATATCAGCTTTTTTTTTTTTCCTTAATTACCTTGTAAGGTATTTATTTATGTTAATTAGCCACTTATTTCATGTTACGAATCTTTACTGTCACTTCCTCCTTTCCGTTTTCCTGCCAGAATGCAAATTTAGCTCGCGTGAATTTGAGCGAAGGTTTAAGATTGTTTTAGTCAGAGCGTGTTCCACCTGCTGAAGGCCATGTTACTAATTGATATTCTATAATAGCGTTCCTGTCTACGGTGTTGCTTTAATGCTGCAGATTGTGTCGTCCCGTATCTTTCATAACGGGGGACGCTTTAACGGATGCATTTTTAAATACTTCAAGTTTGCAGGTGTCGCTTCCTGGATCACCCAGCGGCGTATATGAGACTTATTGTTATGTGTAGATAAGTAAACAGAACATATGAAGAGTGTAAATGATACTTTTATTAAGAACTCGGATAAGTTAAACAGAAGGCACTCCTGGTGCTTACAAACCAGACAGCATTTATGGCATGAACTCAAAAGTATAATATTAAATTAAAACTAAAATTTAATTAACCAAAGGCTACGCAGAGATGTTCAAACGCGCAAGTTGGCTCTAACCTACACCGGCGTGATAGTGTAATATGCAACAATAATGCAACGGCGTAGGCAGAAATGCTATCGTAGAATATCAACTAGTAACTTGGCCGTCAGTAGGAGGAACACGTTCTGACTAAAACAGTCTCAAACCTTCGCTTAAATACATGCGAGCTAAATTTGCATTCGGGTAGGAAAACGGAAAGGGAGAAGTGACAGTAAAGATTCGTAACACAAAATAACTGGTTAATTAACATAACTACCTTACAAACTATTGAATCCATGTTATTAATAATGAATTCCATGCATTCGAAAGCTAGGGAATATTTGGTACTAGGAACCAATATCATGTATTGCTGTCCTTTATCACTGTGCCTATAACATACTTTTTATTTGCTTAACTGTAATCTCATTAATTGTCATGACATATAACCCTTTAAAGATTATTTTTCATAGTAACACTAATAGAGTTGTTTGACACCTCCCCCCTTCTTGAGCGAATCTTGACCATTTTTGAAAAATGGATAGAAATGAAAGATGGTATACATACCTGAGGACTGTTTTTAGAAAATAATTTGTTCGTTTACATATTTTTACGAAGCCTCTACCTACTTCCTACCCCCAAAATATTCTGCTAGTTTCAAAAATTTTATTCTGGATTGCAACAGAAAACTATACATAAGAATTAACCGTAACTGCTAGTTTTAAAATTTGTTATATATATTCCACTCCTATATATTTTGTCTGATTTGCATGCAAAATTGTCTAAAATTGGCTACAAGAAAACATTTCTACACTTTAATTAAGACATGATTTGTTTTTCCTGTGCTTTAGGTGAGCTACTTTTTCTTCTATTCGGAGTGTTCCTCACTTACAAAGTTCGCAATGCTCGCTCTGATTGCTTCCACGAAAAGGAAACGTTAGCTTGGTCAATCTACGTAGAAGCACTGGTCTCCCTGCTTATGTACACTATCAGGTACTAATGCAAAGTAAATATTTCAGTATATATATTTATATATATATATGCACACATACATATTATAAAACTGTTTTTTAGTAAATATCGTACTGAGCATATCAACCGAATTTCTTTTAATTATGAATATTAATTTGAATTATGAATGTCATTTAGTAATTTCTCCTTTAAAATAACTTATTGATTTCTTTTTCTTCTCACGTTCGAGATACTAAAATTTAATTATCTGTGACTCATTTTCTACTTGTGCAATCTTTCCACATTTCTCCCATATATTTTTCAGAAATACCTTCATTAAACTATTTGCTTTAAAAGAAGATCGTTCTTTTAATTTCACCTTCCTTAAATATATAATATTCGGGCACGTGAATAAAGTACTTCCTCCACCTAACCTCTCATTTTTATTATTGCTATGCAGTGTCTATAGCTATTTCTTGAATTATTTCAAAATCAGCATCTTCATTACGCTATTTCAGAATATGTGAAATTTCTTCGATGATTAAGTATGTCAAAATGTTTACTATACTGAAAGAAATAAATATTTTCCATGATTTTCTTTATGTGTCACAAATAGAGAATTAGAAATTTTGATCCACATTCAGAAAATATATGAGCATTTTCACAAATAGTTTTTTTATGTATAAGATAAGATGCGTTGCATTATAAACTTAAAATTTAGTGTTTTCATTTATTTTCCAAATTGTTTTTTTTCTTTTCTCAATTTCTTTTACCTCATGAAACAGCTATTCCGTATATGATAAAAGTTAGTTTAAAACCAAAAGCTATCAGAATCTTCGAAAACAAGACATAAACAAAATCAGACTTCTAAAAATACTCGTGTATTTTCTGATAAATGTGTTAAAAGTCGGAACTAAAAGCTAAAAAGCAAGACAAAAATGTTGCATACATTCACATACACAGTTTGACTCAGAAAGGAAAACACTAGAAACCCCATATCGAATATGACACCGACATCCATCTTCTTTGAAACTGCAACGAATGAAAGTGGCAAATGGTAAAAAGAAATGATTGTTTGTAACAAATATTTAACTGAAAATAGTTTGCAAAACACAACGGGAAAAAACGAGCACATTTAAGTAGAAGGTCATATCAGTTTATCCTATATTTGACCATATCGGCTATAGTTTTGGAAATACCATATGATTCTAATATAGTATATTGGTTGTAAGGTATTTCTCTCGCCTTCTTAGTGAGCTTTCGTAGTGTAATGGTCCGCACACTCAGCGCGTAATTGAGAGGTCCGCGTTTCGTTTCCCAGCGAACGCGTTGCTAATTTTTCATCTTGCCTGCTCAAAAAAATCCTAGTGTCTTTACAAGGTAATCCCGAAAGAATAGCTATAAATTGAGTTTAAAATGTGTCTCCTTACCTAATGGCAACCTCATTCAGTCACTTTGTCTGTTTGCAATGGAAAAGTATACAAGACAACTAATTTAGTTTTAAAAAAGACATAATATCAAGAAAATCAGTGGAAGGTTTGTCTAGATCTAAAAAGAATGAGATATTTTCTTTGGTTCTTGGATACACAAAATAGTCTTGCTTGTTAAGTAATTTGGAAAGCTGAGCAAAAACTGATGAATGGATTGTCCACAGAAACCTATAAGGAAAGTTACGGTAGCTGGAGAACAAAATATATCTAAGGAGAAGATTTTTATCAGACGAAAATTTTCAGGCCATTGTTGTACATCAAATTAGAATCTAGTCTGACGAAAGAATTTAAGGCAATTTTGAATAAAAAAAGACTATTCTTTTAAAATAAAAGAATAAAATGAATTAAAAAAACTATTTATATAACAACAGCTCTGATTTCATCTAAGGAGAGTTTGACAGCAGAAATTTTCAGCTTTTCCGATGTTTAATGAATACACTTACATCTCTAGATTATTCTTGTTTGTTTCACTTGTCTAAAGCCTTCTTGGCAAACACAAGTGAAGAACTATTCCCAATTAGTACAGGAATACGTTTTAATAAGCTGCAGTGTAATATGAATATCAAGATTCAGTATCTATCTTTCGAAAAAACTTTATAATTTAAAAGTAGAGCAAGGAGAAAGGTTTAGCAGGATATAAAAGTTATAGAAGACAGATATCATGGAAATTGGGTTATCCACATAGTACTCTCTGAAATGACACCTGATACTGATGTCAATTTAAAACTGATGTCAATTTTGACAACATGCATACGTATAACTTTATATACGATACTTATACAACATAAATATATATAAATAGGCGTAATGCTTATATTTATTCAGCAGAAAATGCATATGACTGTAAATATACGTCACTCAAAGGAATCCATTAGTATGATGACAGTGTTACCGTAGAAACCGTAGAAGCTAGACATAGCACGAGTAGAATATATCTATTCAAAAATTTTATTTTATAGAATTCCGTGGCCGATATCTTGGTAGCAATGAGAGCAAATCACACCCACATTAATGATGCAATATTAAAAGTCACAGACAGAAGGCCATCTTAAATAAAAGCCTGCCTCTTAATATATACATAAGTAGTGTTGCTAAGGATTTCTAGAATGTTTTTTGTATAAGTTACAAAATTAAAAAAAAAAAAAAAAAATGAAACTCAAGCGCATGTCGTTAAGCCTTAAGCGATAAAAGATATGACTTGGCCCATTCACTTTATATTCTTCTCTTAGAATTCTTACAAAGATACAGTCGAACCCCACTATAACGCACGTGGCTTATAAACGAACCCCACTATAATGCACGTGGCTTATAAACGAACCCCCAGATATAACGAATGGATCTTTTGGCTCTGTGCAGTGTCCTATACATCTAACATATAAGGTATTTTCTCCCTCCTTCTAGCATGCCTTCGTGGTGTAACGGTAGCACACTCGTCGTTTAATCGAGAGGTTCAGGTTCGAGTCCCGGCGAGGGCACTGCACATATTTCACATCTCCTTCAAGAAACCCTAATGACTCCACAAACGTTGTTTTATACTTCTATAGCGAACCTCCAAGGGCGTGAAAATCGAATATAAAGAACTGATGTTGAAAAGTGTTTCTGAAATCCTTTCCGCTAGGCAAATATGATAAATTTATTGTTAATGTAGTAAATAAGAAAAGAAAGCAAAATGTATTGATTTAGAGAAATTTTTTCAAAGAAAAATTATTTCTATAATTACAATTTCTAAAAAGTAGATTTCTTACTGCTCTGTCTATTTCTGAATGTTTAACTCTTGTTTTTTTTCCCTTCCTTCCTTACTAGATAAAGTTGCCTTTTTACTGAAACTGAAGCTGAACCCCTATTTGGAAGCTGAAATTTTGCATGTTTGACTTATATCATTAACACTACAATTGGGCTTAATATCTAAAATTAGAACTGTCAGAGCCCTATGGAATGCCACTAGGATAGGTAAACAAAATTAAATAAATAAAATAATAAATAATAAATAAAAAAATAATAAATTAAATTAATAACAAGTAGTTAAATAATAAATGCTAGAGCTCACCTTATTTGCAGCTCTGTTTGAAATTACAATTTTACTCAAAATCTCAGAAGTACCGAAACTAGGCTCCGGTTAGCTCTGGATGAATTTATGCCCTATTTTACAGAACAGAACAATTCACTTATCACTCTCTAGAAATGCATCTAAGTCTTATGGCCTTGATAATACTCGCGTTACTTTTATAGTGGTGTTAGTAACTTATAAACGAGAAAATTATTTTCCATTTTCTTAAAAAAATTACTAAACACTCTTATGTGTAACTTAGGGTAAAAATTAGGTAATAAAAGTTGTGTCATTTATTTTCGTGTTTCTAAGTAATAAATTCATTGATGTAGCTTGAAATTAGAGTTACAATGAAAATTTTTATGCACACTCTTTCAGGCACGTTGTGTGGTCCAATCTGTTGCCTGATTACATCTACCTTCTATATTTCCTTCGCTGCCAGTGTACGGTCACTCTCATCTTATTTTTCATCTTCGCACCGAAAGTAAGTATAAACAATATAAACGCTACCTGTACATATTAATAAAATCAGATATTATAACTTCGTATAATGTAAATTAACTGTCTATATATACGAATTCTGAGTGCTGAAATATATTTTTTATATTATTAACATCCATCAGTAGCCATGTGACTTATTACTTAGGTAGCTCAACCAGGGTTTGTTTTTTACGCTACCTTTTATGCTTTTATGGGTATAATATAAAACGATATATGCGGTGCAAAAGCGGGTAACAACAAGCCCAAAAAAGTTACATATTTCACTAAAATTATCTCCTCCATGTCTTCGATTCATATTCGTCAGTTTCTTAACCTTTCTCTGCAAAAACTCCGGTAATACCGTAAAGTAAAGAAGCATTTCAGTGATCGATCATTGTATAAAAACTGTTTATTATCAATATAAAATGTTCCTTTAACAATCTGAACCTGCGTTTTTTTGGAGTAACATAGTTTTAGACTCAAAAAATATTTTCCTTCGTAAATACCTAATCTTGTAATCATAATTTTCATATACCAAAAACGATAGTTGCATGACGGGTTCTGCCCGTGATTTTATTATTTCTCAATATAATGGCAACATAATTCTGCAATATCTGCTGTCAATAATTTAATACACTCTAGTGTTCGAGTAAAGTTTTCAAAGCTACATAGCCCTATATTTTATTTGTTGTTAATCAATAATCTTAACATTAGGTACAAGTTTATTAACTTTAAAATTCAGTTGTTTTTACATTTTTCTGAAATATTACTTGGAATTAGTCCCAAGACTTATTCTCGAGGCGGGGTGTTTGTCATATTTAATTTCTAAAAACTGACATTCAGCAGCTGCTTTACTCTAATTGAATTCATTATTCACCCTTCATATTCATGTTTGAACCATTTGTTTACTAGTAAAGCACACCTGTGAACCGTTTTTAGAATAGTACTCCCCATCCTTTTACCTGTGGTTTCACGGAATCTTGAAGTACGAATAATTAATCTGGTAAAACATGACTGTTTATAACAAAAGTCAAGACTTGAATCAAATCTACTTTTGCACCAATAGGATTTTCTATTTAAACTTTAATAAGATTTACAAACTCAAGTTTTATGATTGAAAATAAGATCATGAGTAAGTAAAAATGAAATACGTTTTACTTCCCTTTTTCACATTACAGCAACATCTTCTAGACAGCTCCAGTTTCAAAAAAGGAGTTCCATTACCAGTGAAATATGTTTGATTAACCATAATATTACATAAACCATCGCTCAATCTAACTTTTCTGTTCAGAATAAGATTTCATTTTGATAGTTTTGTCTTTAAAATTTCATTGTAACTTGTGTTATGCAACAGAAATTATATATGCTTCCTGAATGCCGCAATGAAAGATTCGAATTTCTATGCTTGCCGGTCTCTGTAGGTACTCTACTGTTCAAAAAGGAATTAGAGTGAAATAAAAGTTCAGTAATTATTTAATTTATTATTAAATAATTTGTGTTATCTTTTTTTAACATTTATACGTTATTTTAATTGTGTGAATTTTAAGTGTGAGCTTTTCACGTGGCTTCAATTTTGTCAACATTCTCAGCTCTCAAATGTTTCTCACAGTACAGAGGACAGAAATTATCGTTTCCCTTTAATATAGACACTTGTCTTTTCACTGTTTCTATCACAATTGGTGTAGGGCAAACTGGTGTGATTGAAATCTACAGGCCTTGCCTCCTACCAACAGTGCCATTCATTTCTGTATTTTTTAATTTTTTGCAAAAACCTGAGTCCTTAGAATTTCTCGCATAATGTCTAGTGATATAAACTCTAAAATCGCAGATAGATATGCCGTCCTCTTTCCATAAGTATACTGACTTTATTGATATCATTTTTATGTTGAAAACTGGGTAATGTACATTCTCTGTAGAAGTTAAGGAACAGATAGCTTTTTGTCTTCAAAAACAATCAAAGATGGACATTAAAAAACAATCAAGATGGACATTAAAAAATGGCACAAGTTTAGACTGCGCAGTGAATTATTGCATGTTACAAAGTTTGGACATATTTGTTTATCTGAAAACAGGTAAAAAGTTATTTTCAGAAAATACACGATTAATGAGATATGGAGCGAACGCCTTTTTGTTCAAATAAATTAGAAGCATAAATGCAAAATAAATGCTCTTCTTTGAAAGCCAACTTAGTGCTTTCGCTCTATGGTATCATTTTAACTGTTAGATATTTCAATACGAAGTAAAATATGCACATATCATATTCTCATTTGCACTCATTTGGGGATGTCAGAGAGGATGAAAAAACATCTAACGCTTAACACAGATAACGCAATAGGAAAATATTTAAGGTGACTTCATTGAGTTGTCCTGGCGACGACAGAATAACTTAAAAGCAAATAATATTGCTACGCAGAATTCTTAGTAAATTCGAAGAACGTAGCAGATCTGTTAGCATCTGCTCGCCGTCTTTCAAGTCGCCAGCGTGACGAATCTAATTATTATCAAAGAACTATTGTCATAGCTGATATTTCTTTTACATTCGACGTGAGGTACAGCTCGAACCCGCACAAACAAAGTCTTCTTAACATATCTACACAAAGCGAGAAACAATCGAGAATAGCATAATCACATAAGCGAGAAATATTTATGTACTCGAAATATATAATATACAACTATCAAATGCATTCTGTGTACTTGCTCGAAGGCAAACTGGGTCTCTGAAGCATCATACAGATATTCTAACCTTTGCCCCATAAGATTATAAGGTATTTCTCCCGCCTTCTTAGCATGCCTCTTTGTGGTGTAATGGTCAGCACACTCGGAGCACATTCGAAGGGTCCGAGGTTCGAGTTCCGGCGAGGGCATTGCTCATTTTTTACTTCTTCCGTATAAAAAATACCTAATGTATCAATAGTGGCGCCCGAACTAAAAAAGGTGGTGGATGATGATTCTGCACCACCAGGACTTGGCGATTGGGTCGCCTAATCCCCCAGTCGCCCCATAAAAAGAGCAATATAGAAGGCATTTCTCCCGCCTTCTTTAGCATGTCTTCGTGGTGTAATAGTCAGCACACTCGGCGCGTATTTGAGAGGTCCTAGGTTCGAGTCCCGGTGAGGGCATTGCTCATTTTTCATGACTCCTGCTTCCTAAAAATCCTAATGACTCTACAGGATAACGTGGGAGACTGTGTTAATTTCTTACATTTTCAAAGATGCTATTTGCTTGGTATGATTAGTTATTCTGATAAACAACATAACCAGAGTCTGAAAGACACATGTATGCAATTAGTCCATGTCAGAGGAATTACAAACTGAATAAATGGGAAATTAAGAAGAATTTTTATGAAAATATAATATAGAAATGATACTTGCTAAGAATGTGGTTACAGTGTTAATTTATAGTGTAAAAATTATAAAAATAATACATTGTAATATATAACAGCAATTTTTCTTATGAATTAAAACAGAATATAGCGAGAAAAATTAAACTATTGTTTGAACTGAGTGATAAGTTCAAAGAGTCCTTATAAGTTGTAGTACTGCTTTATAATTCTCCTTGGAGTTAGATGGTACGTTATACACCGAAGTCAGAACTCATAGGCACTATGAACAGGGATAAAATCCTATGTCTAAATAGGCAACTAACAAAGAAGTAATTACAGGTGAAAAATATTACAATACTTATTAATGCAGTAGTTAATAGAATTCCTAATTTTTGCTATGTCTTCCCGATTGCCCATACATAGGATGGGGGTTGATGTCGTGTTTCAAAGTTCTTACCCTCTGGTGAAATGTGGGGCTGTAACTCATTTGATATCAGAGATTGGCAGAATGAATGACTGTACAGGAAATCAGACTTATCTCTCATCAGAGTCTTCCAGGATTAATGCTTTTCTAGTTTTTCGTACTCCTAATTTTACTAAGCGCTCATAAGCTAGAAGATCTTCATGTTCCAAAAGTTAACTACAGATAATTTAGAAATAGTCAGTGAAAGGCTTTGTGCACTGCCTTTCCAGTCCTCATGGGGGGATAATTATTAAAGAGTTAATACAGGAACACTGGCTAAGTATAACAGCATTCTCATTTCATTTCCGAATGGTAGCTGTTTCAGTCGGATCTATAACCTCCAGTTTTTTTAACAATCATGTGCGCCTCCTTTCCGTCTGTATAATTAGGGTTCTTTTTTCATATAATAATGAACGATGTTTCAAGTTCATCTCACTCCAATTCATATTCAGTTCGTATGCAAGAAAGGCAGCAAATGCATTCTCATGTTTCAAATAGTAACGCTCGGCAAATGAGACACACTTAGACAGCGTCAAAATCATTCGGCAACTGAAAACTGCTATGACGCATTCCTTTAACACCATGTTACCTACCATATCATACTTATGTTATTCAAGAGCTTCATCCTTTATACTCATCATTATGTATTATCGCTTACTTTCTCCCCGTTTTTTCAAAGTTTTACTTTTCCCTCACAGAAATACAAATACTTATCTCTTTCACTTTACAATGCCGAATATGAGTTGACATCACTGTTTGAGAAATGACTTCGCTGTTCTTTCCATCTAAAAATATTACTATTTGGGAGATAGCTTGTGTAAACATATTATATTATATCAGTTGTATTCTCTTGAGTTATAACTTTTATTTTTTTATTTTTTATCAGTTCAAATGCTGACCTCCTTATTAACATTATATGGAAGGAAAACTTTTACTAAATTATTGTGATTTTTATCAAATTATTTGATTAGAAATTCCCAAATCTGTTCATATTTTCTCCCAATTAATTACTGTCCTCACAATTTCAGCTCTGGTATCATGTCCGTCCACCGGAGATGGACTACCAGTCCGGGCGTCAGTTATCTTCGTGTGGAGATGTCCGGGACCATCCACCTGAGACACTCAAGCTGCATGAAGCAATTACATCGAACGGTGACGTAGATTTTTCGGATATCAACCTCAGCGACATGGATCCCGAAGATATTCGTGTAAGTTAAAACATCTATTCTTTGGTTAACTATTGTCATTCAATTACAGGTATGCCTATCCGGCGAAATAGCAAATACGTAACTGTACACGAGCGACTGATTGTTTCTAATACCTAGAATTACTCAAAGAAATTAATTGTTCTGTAATTTACACAGCCATTAGGTGTTTCGGAGTAGGAAACGTGTCAAATCAGCTATGCTCTTCCCGTAATTCGAATCACGGATCTTCCGACTGCTGACTGCATGTACTACCGCTTTATACCACTACAATATACATAACTTAATGCGACAATCACTTATATTCACTTCCCCTTAAAGCTAACTAAGAAAGGAACGAGACTCAGTCAGACAAATCCAAAATGGTGGCGATTTATCGACCACCACAATTTTAGTTCAGGCACACCTACGAAGACCTTCGGTTTCTCGGAGCGATAAACATGGAAAACCACATGCAATAAATGGTGGATCCGAACGACGGATCTTTAAATGCTTATTAAACACGCTTACAACTTAAACCACTAGAGCCAGCACAGGGAAACGCGATATTTCCTTATTATGTGCAAGTAAAACGTTTTTAATCTAAGTAATATAGTATTTAAAAACAGAAAATCTGAACTTTTAAAGTAATTCTTTTAATTGATAGACATATAAAATATTATAAGCATATACAATATAACAAATGCAAGTTAATTGATTCAACCTCATTTTAAACATGCATTTAAAACACATAAATGCATTTAAAACAAATATTTTATTGCAAGGTATATACTATACAAGGAACGGGAAAGCAACCAAAGAAAATCAACTAGAAATTCCTTTTATATAAATATACTCCTATTTCATACAGAACGTATAATTTCATATCGCTACTTATATAGGCATTCTATTTTTAAATTTTGAAAACATCATAAGCCCCAAACAAAACATTCACTGTCTGGAAAATGCTGTTATTTATTTGCCCCAGTATTTATTTTCTCCATTATTTGCAGAAATGTTGCCAGGCAAGAGAATGTTAAAATATTGCTAGAATCCAACCTACTTCTTCATTTCTGTGACAGAGTTATCGATCTTATTTTGTAAATCTAGTCTTTTTCTGGATTTCTATAATATGCACCGAAAACTGGATTACTTGATTTCGCCGGGGTGTATTCTTATCTACACTCACTTCCAAAAGTTAAGCACGGAGAGGAAAATTTCCGGAAGCCAATCAAAATTGAAGAGGATGCAATTCGCTGCAGAGGTAGATGGAAGTATGCAAATATGTTAGGTAACAGGCAATCGCGCTTTCATGTCAAGAAATATGAAAAAAAAAAAAAAAAAAAAAAAAAAAAAAAAAAGGCAGTCTTATAAGAAGCCAGCTTTATGAAGGGTTACAAAAGTTGATTGTAAGTGCTCATAGAAGGTGTCGTACAATTTGTTTTCAAGACATACGTGTTTGTATGACTTTCAGAAGACGAATGGACGATTCTGAGCGCTGGCATGCTGTGGGGCGCATTGAAGCAGGACAGTCGATCAGAGATGTTGCTTTTCTTCGGCGTTCATCATTCTGTAATTTCGCGTTTATGGAAACAATTCCAAACAACACAGGCAGTTGTCCGAAGGCCCGTAGCCTTTCGCTCAAGGGTTACAACCCCCGCGGAAGATCGATATATTGCTATTGTAGCCAAGCGGAATCGCAGAGCGACCTCCATACGTGTGACATCTGTGGTTACAGCGTCCATTGGTAAGGCGATATCTGCAGCTATTGCACGCCGAAGATAACATATGAGTGGACTGTACGCCCGGGTACCTCGAGGTTGTGTTTCTCTATTCGTCCAATCAAGAGAAGAACGATTACAGTGGTGCCGGGACAATGCCAATTAATTGGAATGTGTCTGACTGGGGCAATGTCATGTTTACTGATGAGTCAAGATTTGCTCTGGAGCCAGATGACAAGCGTATAAGGATACGGCGTGAACAACGAACACGCAGTCAGTCCCAAAACATCACCGAACATCACGCATTCCGAGGCGGAAGCATTATGGTGTGAACAGGGATTTATTTCATTAGGATACCGCACCGACCTGCACATCTTTAAACAGGGTTCTTTGACGGCTGTCCTGGTATCGAGATGAAGTCCTAGAAAGCCCATTGTGAGATTGTAAGCTGCAGCAATTGGCCCTACTTTTGTTTTTAATCTGATAATGCACATCCTTATAGAGCTGACATTCGTCGATGACTACCTGGAAGAGTGAAGGGATTGCGCGTATGGCGTGACCAGCATATTCGCCCGACCTTAATCCCATTGAGAATGTTTGGGATGCTCTCGGCCGTGCTGTATCTTCACGTTTTCCACCTCTAGCCACTCTTATTGAGCTGGAAACTGCTCAAGACGAATGTCGATTGCTTAATTCTGCGGTGGTTGACCACCTAACTGAAAGCATGGTCACAAGGTGTAAACTTTGTATACAGATGAGGGAGGATCACATACCCTATTAATGTCGTTTTTTTCATTTTATGCTGTTTATGTTCACTTTGTACATAATTCTGTTTAAGTCTCCAGTATGTCATTATCTGATAACTTACAAAAATTTAATATTTTTTTTTCATATCTGTATATAATTATTGATTTTATTTTATGCATAAAATATATATGCTACTTTCCTGCCGAATTTTGTATCAATCTAAGCAATGTTGTTCTTTTTTCTTTTTTTTTCATTTTACATCTTTGTGCTTAACTTTTGAAAGTGAGTGTATATATATATATATACACTCACTTTCAAAGTACTGTATATGTATATATATATATATATATATATATATATACAGTAGTACCTCTCAATAAGGGACACTCACCAGACCAGGTATCTTGTCCCTTAAATAGATATGACCCTTCTTCAGAAGGTACATGATAAAACTGTAATTTAATTAGAAATTCAAGCTTTAAATAAGTAACATAATCTGTTTTCGTAAAGTCCAGACTGCTGTTCTCTGCTTTTGTTCGCTTTATTTATGCATGTAATTTTTAATGTTTATTTATACATGTAACCTTTAATGTTCTAGTTAACTTACTTCTGTAAGCCCCGTGTTGTACATATGTGGTGCACGGGGAATCTGTATGTTCTCAAAGAAAAAAAAAATAAGTAACATAATCACAGGTATTTATTTGAATCTGAAATTAATGAAAAATGAAAATTCTTAATTAAAAAGTTTAATTATTGCAACAATGTATGAAATGAGCAATAGAGTTTTGTACTTAAATAATCGGTTACACGGGTTTGTTTGAAAGTCTGTAAATTTCAAGCATTTATTTTTCTGTGCGGATATTAAAGTCACTGATGATTTCAAGTCTTTCACTTTCACCAATAGCAATCATGAAATCTTTTTATTGAGAGATGTATTTTAAGGCATCTTTTATGTCCCATTTTTGGTCTGGCTTTTCTTCGTTTTCCTCATTGCTTTTCAAGCTAATTTCATTAAGGTTCACATCATGAACTGCAGTTGTAATGAAAGATTTTATGTGTTCATTGGTGTCTTCAATACGTAAGTGTTCATCGAATTCTAAATACTCTTTCATTTGAGTACTGCCATTGAGTTTGTAAATTTCAAACAATTCGGTTTTCATCAGCAGTATTTTCACTGAGGGCACTCGAAATTGGAATTTCAAATCCTGTTTCCTAAAACAGTGCTGAACACAACTTCGTGATACGGATTTAATTTGTTATTCACTGAAAGGCACTCAATACATTGACACGTTTCGCAAGCTGATCGCTGTTTTCGCAAGCAGCTTGACAATGAACATGCCGTAAAACAGTTTTCTGTAATAAACCTTGAAGCTTCTAATAATAACTTTGACCAAAGGCTGTAATACTGATGTTGCATTAGGTGTGAAAAAAACTAATTTCACTGATTTCAGTTTTGCATTTGGTGGATGAGCTGGCGAATTGTCAAGAAATGGCAGAATCTTTCTATTTTTAGACATTGTTTTTATCAAGTGCTATCAACCATTTTAACATTATGCTTTGCTTCATCCGTCATTTTTCATGGATGCTAATGGACAGAAAATTTTGGATTGATGTATTTGAAGCATCTTAGTTTTTTGGCTTTTCAATTACAAGTGGTTGCTCAAAATTTCTTTTCATGTTACAACAAAGTAACACAATGAGACGTTCTTTGGAGCTTTTCCCACCAGAGCACTTTTCTCTTTTGAAGTATAGAGTTTTATATGGCAAAATTTGATAAAAGAATCCAATTTCATTTGTAGTGCAGATGTTTTTCAGCCTCACATTCTTCACAAATTTCATTTAGGTTTTTATATCCAGTCTGTTACATGTTGCACGTCTACTGATTGTTCTTCACCACAAAAACCGACGCAGAGAAATATGTGAAGCTACTGGCTAGGACCTGTATCTAGGCAGTCTCGACCACGGGGGTATAATACCATTGAGCTTGGCGGTTCTCCGTGAGCTGTGGGCGTTCGTGTGTACAACCGTCCTTGTTTATTCGAGTGGCCCATGGCATGAGGTGGAGTAAGCCCCGTGTTAAAGCCCGTGCGGCCTTCGTAGTACTGGCCACATAGTACTTCGTAGTACTCCCGAGTAGTACTGGCAGGTAGCATTTCTAACGATCAGTCAAATCTCCAGGCGTGCATGCTCCCAGGCGGTAGCAGTAGATTCCAGAGAGCTCTTTTCAATGTCTGCTTCCTCGGCTTGGGACCCCGAGCGGTAACTTAATGGTATGTTCTTTTTCCTCTCTTAAGGGCACTTAAGGGGGATGAGTGGACGATTCGCCTCCCGCCTAATACGGAGGGTTTTCAAGCGGGCAACAGTCCGTGTAGAGTGATAATGTGATACTTTGGCGGAACACGTAATAGTTTCAATACTTCACCATAAATAGCCTTAAAAGTAATGTTAAATCTTTGTTTAAATTTTTTTAACGAACGATTTTATTCTTTGAAGTTCTATAATCTCGGACTTTCCACAACTTCTTTTGCCTTTGTCTTGTAATAAGACTTCAGTTACAGAAATATTGTTTCTTCTTACAAATAAAAAAAAAGTTGAACACTAATGTATCAATTTCATAGGCTCCAAGTTTTCTTAATTTTACAGTCTTGGAATGTTCACTTGAATTAGTAATACATAGTAATTTTATTTTTTCTCTATCCTTTCGCACATGAATTTGGCACTTGGCTTTTACTTACTCCAAATTTCTACCCTAAATCTCTCAAATTAAGCTTTTCAGTTTCTGCTACATGAATTAAATCAACTTTTTGTTTAATGTTAAGCTTTTCATCTTTGAGCCATGATAAATAACATATGTAAAAATAACAAGTACAAATCTACACATCTTTTACTTCCTAGTCCTAGTAAGAAATAAGAATGGTAAAAGTTCCCACTCTGTTCACATTGTGAGATCCCTGTCCTTGGCAGGTGGTCCAACACCACCATTTTCTTTCCCATTGGTCCTTGTCTTTGATTGATGTACAACTTGCTAACACTCTTTTCTTCCCTCTACTGAGAACTCGAGCAACAATAACTTGATTTTGAATTTTGTGAATGAGAAACATCCCTTTCATATTACCACAGCTTGCTGCTTCCCAATGTATTGATCCCTTTTTCCGAGCTGAAAAGCGGTTTTCAAAAGAGAAGGATTAACGTTTCACTATATTATTCCTGTGTCACAAAAGTATCTTTCACTGAGCACAAACCTGCCTTTGAGACCTCAAAATTTACTGACAAAGTGTATTTCTATTTTATTAATTTCCTTACTTCTATTGAAACTGGTTTTCAGTGTCCTTTAATAAGAGGTAAATACATTAAGGTCTCTATTCAAAAGGACCGGGACCAGCATAACTGTCCCTTAAATAGAGATGTCCCCTGTTTTAGATGTGTCCCTTGCTCAGAGGTGTCCCTTACAGGAGGTACTATTCTCTCTCTCTATATATATAGATAGATACATATATATATACAACGTTTGAAACCGGCAATTGTACTTATAGATATAGGGAAAGGTAATACAAACGGAAAGGGCAATACTAGTTTATTTGGCACTTCAGTGTTTTGTAAATTAAATACGATATTTAGGTTGCCTTTTTAAAAATAATTATTTTTGTTTCAGTTTGAGCTGCGACGCGTTTACACGCAACTTCAAATTCTGAGGAACATCACAATGAGGAAAGGAAATCCACACATCTCACGACGCCGGGGTGGTAGAAAAGGCACGCATCGTCGATTCTCGTTGCAGCCCTTCCACCATCGCCACAAGCATTACCACGATCATGAAGTAACTGAGATTTCTAAAACACCAGAAGAATCCACTGCTAGTGCTGATGGAACTATGGTTGCTGCAAGCGATAACGCATCTACTCGTCAAAGTGATGATCATAATAATTCGGGAACTCCAACTGTTACTTTCAAAGATGGTCCCAAGTGATCAAAGAACTAGATCTTGCTTGTTGGCATGCCCCAACATGGTCATTTAGTGAGATCTATTTAAGATCTTGACGTTAAGTCATAAATGTGGTATGTATGTCGGGATCTTCAAAGCTCAATTGTTTATTCGCTAGCCTTGTTGTATAAAAATGGGCAGTGACTAGATGTTCGTAATTATGTATTGTAAATGCTTAACAGCTGCTTTTAGAGCCGTGAGCAAATTTTTTAAATGTACATACAGATGACAAACACCGCTATGCTTAATTTTCTTTTTTCAAAACTGCCAATCTAACCAGTTTTTAATATTTAAATTATTTAATTGAATCAAACGGAGATGAAAGACTTAGAAATTTTAATCAGATTTGACTTCTAGTGTTGAACCGTTATAACTAGTATTCAATTACAAATTAAGCGAAAGGAATTATAAGTGATTTGCTGAAGGTTTCCGATCTGCGTTGTTTTCAAGAACACAAACTGTCTCCGAAAATGCGGGAAAACAAATACAAAAAGCGTTTTGGCATAAATATCAGAATAATGTTTTTCCTCGAGTCAGTAATCTAAAAATAAGCATTTTCATTAATGCAATGTATATAGAGAATTCATGAAATCGTTTTCGCAAGTGTTTTCAGTTACACAAATTTTACACAATTAGCAGTTAAATCAGCAAGATGACAGAGAAATTATAAATGTAAAATAAAATAATTAGCGAATTATTGTTTAAATAGTATAGTGCTAGCAAAATGTTTGCAGTAGATCTACGTTATTTGAAATTCTATTTTCTAAGTAACTTGCAGATCAAATATTTAGCATTTCAAATATTAAATTTTGCAGAATACGAGATTTTTACGTCTGAATAATAAAGCCAAACATCTAAAGCAATATATGCAGTGAAATTGTAAGAGGATCTTGCTAATTATAGTCTGAAGTCTTGATCGGAATTTTCTTGCCAATTGTACCGAAATTCGTTATAATGTTATTTTTTTATTTTATTTCTTTAGACCTAAATTTCACATAATACTGAGGTCTTGACGGCAAATAATTTCTTGCGTGTGTATCATGGCAAATAATCTTGTAAGTGTATTTTGGCAAATTTTGTATGTGTATTATGGCAGATAATTTCATGCGTGTGCATTACGGCAGATAAGTTCTTGCGAACGTATCATGGCAAATAATCTCTTGTGAGTGTTTATAGTGGAGATTTGGATATTTTATAGTTATTTATAAAATATCAAGATGCCATTCCATTGTAACGTTTCTATTCAACATTTTGTTCGTTGTGTGATAATATATGTTTGTAAACATTCAATGTTTAGCGTTGTTTAAACTTCAGAATGGTGTTTTAATGATGAAGTGCGGCAGGAAGCTGAAACACTGATGGACACTTTTCCCGCAGGAAGGGGGATAAATTTGTTGGAACAGAAAATAGGATAAAATAAAAGAGAGAACCCGTATGAAGCGTAAAAGAAGTAAATATTTCCACCTCATTTTTATCTACTTTCCCTTGTTCAGTAGTCACGTATAATTAATGTATATATTTCGTTAACTTGAAAACTAGTCTCTTGTAGTCATATATATGTATAATTATCTCGAACAGTAGTCATAACATATATTTAATTTTTTCTTCCTTCCAAAATACTCTTGAATAAAAATTAATAAATTAGTTTTAAGCTTTAAAAAAGATTCTCGCGAAGTTGTAATTAATGTAACCTTTATATATTGACATTTAGAGTCTTCCTATGGTGTAATAATTAATTAAGCCATATAATACCTCCCACTAAAAATCCCTAGGGCTAATAAATGCATTTCAGTAGGAGTAGCTATGGAGAGTAAGATGATGAATGTGTTACTTATTTCTTCAGCTTTAAAAGGACTTCAGTAGATAATAAAGGATATGTGGGAAATATTATATGATAAACTTGAGTTTTTAAAGAAATTCTTTTTCCTTACGATTTCTGACCAAATAATTTACATCTTCAACTTTATTTCAAAATTCTGAGAGAGAATGATTTATGATTAAGGCTGAAATCAGTTTCGAGGTTTCTCCGTTAAGGTAAAAAAACATAGCCTATATACTTTTTACTTTTTCTTCAACTTTCAGTTTCTTTTTTTTTTCCAATACTTTCTTATGTAATAATGAAACGGAAAGAAAACTGAAGGGCCACTAAAATAAAATCTAAGAATTAGGATGTGTACAATTACAGCATTTATTGATTATTAAGAATCTTGAAATTCCAGATAAAAATAAAACATGCTAACTTAAGCTTAGATAAACAGTGGCTTTAAACATTTTATTGGCGTTAATTTAGCATAAAAAATGTTAGATTTTTGTACTAAAAAGGGCCCAAGTTTTCCAGTTGAAACACGTCTAACCGTTTTTATGTATAATTGAATGCCAATATGAAGTTAAAAATCAAAGTTTATCAGCCAGCATGCATGTGTTTTTTGCCAAGAATACCAAAGTTTAGATAAAAATATTATCTTTATTTTGTATATTAAACAATCGAATCACTTTTAATCATTCTATCATTTCTTTATAGCTCTCATTAGAAATTCCTCAAGCAGTTTATTGAGGACTAGAATTACTGTTAAGCATTGCTTGTTTTAACAAATTGCAAATGTCAATCTTGTACCACCAAAATGAATAAATGTAAGTTTATATTGTTATTTATGAATACAGGTGTTTTTCTTTCTTTAATGTGTCAAATATGCTGTCTAATGGAATGACTATCTCATTGTTTGATATCAGTCACACAGATATCTTAAATACACGCGGCATACTCATTCCTTTTATTTTGGATAGCTTTTGGAAGATGAAAATAGATATGATAGATCGATAGAAATTGCGGCAAATAAAAATCGACTCTGTAACTAAAAAATTATAGAAAGATTATTTAATTAAGCAATTCTCTTAAAAACTCAGATATGTACCATGAATAATACATTTAACGAAATTAATATGTTGCAAATGACACAACACATAGAAAAAGTTTAATATTCGTATTTAAAAAAGTACTTTCTGAGCATTAAAGAACAGTTCTATACGCATATTTTATTTCACGTGAGTTAACATATTGGACTTCAACTATTAATTCAATGAATAATAATGAGTCACCGACAAAGTAAAACCGTAGTAAAATATTCCGGTATCTATATATAAGAATGTAAAGAAAGTTAAATATAACTTAATTGCCTATTGTAATAAATTAGGAAGAACCTGAAGAAGACAATAGGTATAAAACGTTGCTTTGGAGTCACAGGGAGTTGGGAGCAGAGGGGGCGAAGCCTCCCAAGGCGCTTACGAGGGGAGGGGAATTTACGGAGTAGCGCGTGCGGGTTGCTACGTCACCAACCCCAGACGCCTCGCATCCTGTTCGTGACGTCATCCCGGATTATCTTGCTATTGCTACATCAGCCGCATGTTTCATCCTGTTTGTGTTGTAATCCTGTTTCACGTCCAAGCTTATCTATTAACGCAAATCCGCCACGTGATTGCAACTTCTGATACATGCTAGAAGTTTCTAGTACATTCCTTTTAGTTCAGCAGCGTCCGCTAGAGGGCAGTAGTCTTACCCATAGTGCATTCTGATTGGTACTCATGGATCCTGGCCAAGTTATTAACCCTTATTTTTAATTGATTATATTATTTGACTTTATAGTAGTATTTAATGAAAAAAGTTGATGTATTTGTTCATCTGTGCCATGGGAAACGTGGATGATATCACAAAGCCATGCTTTTGTCTTATGAATCCTGATATTTGACCGTGTCTGTCCTCTTCGTCCAACTGACCTTGTACAGCGGAAATCACCATGAGGAGATGAGGCGCATAGGCAATTCTGTTCCAACTTGCTCAGACCTTTGTACATCCTCGATAATGAATGAATTCATAAGTTTAAATTTATTTTGTTTCTATTTTAGGTTACGGTATTTTAAATTTCTCTTTTCTCATTTCTTTACCTTACAAACATAATTTACGTAATTTTCTTTTCTTCTCGCCGTTAAATTAAATTTACTAATTTTCACACCATATTTTTTATATAAAATCATAAGATTTTCTTTTTTTCCACATTTTTAAGTTTTACATTCCTTTCCCCTACGTTTAACTTACAAAAGTAATAGATTTTATAAAAGTAATACGTTTTTCGCAATTTTAATTTTTTTCTTTTTTTATTTTACAAAAGCTTTTTTTTCCTTCAGTTTAATCTTTCCTTTCCGTGTTTTACATTTTTCACTTTATTCGTTTTACAAAAGTTGTACTTATTTTCGTACATTTTTTTTTTTTCTATTTTTACGAATTCAGGCTTTTTTCCCTTCCTATATTTTACTTCAAGAGTAAATTTAAATTTTTTTTTTTTTTTTTTTTTTTTTTTTTTAATAAAAGTTTTTTTTTTTTTTTTTTTTATTTTTTTTTTTTTTTTTTTTTTTTTTTTTTTTTTTTCTTTATTCTTTGAAGAGTTTTTCTTCTTTCATTTCTTTTTTCTTTCTTTTATTTTCCTCTTAAGATTTTTCTTAACGTTTTCCTTGTTTTAAATACTTATTGATGTTACACCTCCATTTCTCGAAACGTACAGTTACATATATATTTCTCGATCTGTGAAACTTAAGCTGGAACTAACACGCATATAATTTCCCTCTAGAGGCTTTCATGGACAATATTTTCTCTAAATTTAAAACAATAAGTACGATGTTCATTCCATATAGCTTAATTGGCATATTATATTTCTTATATTTTTCCGATACTAATACTTAAGATACGCAAAACTTTCTCTTCTAATGTATTACACCATACTACTAACACCTTAACGGATAATACTCCGAACTTTCTCTTCTAATGTATCCTACCAACTTTTTGAAACACTATACAAAATGTCGCGGATTCTATTTTACACATCTCACTTTTATTCAAAGGGTTCATGAAATGTGTCAAACAAATGTAAATTTTAATCTTTCTATTTTCCAGTTAGATATTTTGCCTTACATTTAACCTTTATCATGTTTTGAAAACATATCCCTGTTAATATTTCTGATTCTTTTTTCCCTAAAAATAAATACAGACTTATACGGATTTTTTAAAGGTCTACTGACTTTGAATTAAACCTTATAATTCAGAAATAATAAATTTTCATGATATAAAATCTACTTGAACTAATATATGGACATCTCTAGCCAGTTTAGTTCAAATACGTACGAAAAAAAATGAAATTTCTTATTATTGTCTACCCCGTCTAATACGTACCACAGCATTTCATTTCTTAATTTTTTACACTGAAGACATTTACATGAATATATTCAGAACACTCCTTTTTATTGAGCAGGAGGATTCATATATATTACTAACACAGATTGACTCTGAAATATTTTACAAAATTATCTTGGATTTTCTTGTAGACATCGTATTTAAATCACCGAACACACGCTAAATCTTGATTTCTGTCATGTCAAAACGTCACCCGGATTCTTAATGTGATCCCACCATTTACCGCAGACCTTCATAAACACTGCTTTATATGAACGTAACACAGCCTTAATTGTTTAACAAGCTATAGAATTTTTAACTACAGAGAAGAATATCTACATTGTAATGTAATATTTTAAATTCACCATATAGCGATATTTGTGTAAAACATCTAAAACGAAAGGATGTCCATAATACACATGGAATTAATATTCAGTCACGAAAGTGAAACTTTGTCATCTTTTCCCTAACTTAGAATATAAAAATTTCTCAGCTTGGAATATTTTTTTTCAACTAATATGATCATTATTTTTACAAGTCTAAAACTTTTTAATATATTCCTTCTTACTTAAGACATGCATTTCAAATTGACAAACACTGAACTCTTACAGCTTTTTGAGAATAATTTTTAAGTTATGAGACATAGCAAATAAAATCCTGCACAACAGGAAATATTGATATGAATTCCAAATAATAATACAACTCAACTTTAATATTTTCAATTTACGTTAAAAAAACGATTTTGGAGAAAAAATTAGATTTTTTTTATTGCCCAATTTGAAAGGTCAGTTTTGTAGGATTCCAAAAATGGTTCATTTTTATGTTTACGATAATTAGAAGAGAAGATATAGCCAATTAACTGCACCGGAAGTGAAAGCAGAAAGACCGGAAGTGCCATTTAAAGGGCTAAACTTAAAGGTAAACAATGGTTTTATCCGTGTTTTTTTTAACCTGTTTGTATGTAAATTGTGCTAAAACATTTCATTTTAATTCTGGGTACTTTGTTTTGTTTCTGGCAATAATTATTTGCCTTAATTTTTAGAATTGGGACTGGCAACACTGCGATTTTTCTTTACATTTGTTCCATGCTTGTTCTTCGTTTGCTACACGCATATTCACGCTTTATTTTTGTTTAATTTTTATAGTTATCTCTTTGCTTCTTTTATTTATTTTCTTTTGAACATTTGTCGAATTGTTTTAAGTATTCTAAGATGCCAAAAGCGAGATCTAAGAGAAGTAAAAAGCGATCTTTTTACGGTAACCGTTATACAACTGGGACTCGAACTGTTTGTGATAATGATGTAACAACTGCAAGCTCATCGAAATTAAAAACTTTGGAATTTACAGATGTTATGACTGCAAAGAATGATCAAGACTTAAAAGGAAATAGAATATTTGATATTATAAAATTACCTTCTATCTTTTCTATTCTCTGCTGTCCAGTGTGTTTCAAAACTGGCTTGCAATTAGTAGAAGATTCAAAATTTGGAATTTGCTCAAACTTTAGCTTGAAATGCAAATGTGGATTTATAAAGGCATTTTCTTCAACTCTCATAAATGGAAATAAGAATATTTTAAATTCTTTCTTGGTGTTTGGATTAAAGACTCATTGGAAAAGGTTACACATCTGGTAAAACGTTGTTGTTTACCTTTGAATTTGCCATTCATATCGAAAACAGCATTTAGGCAGCATGAAAGCAAATTGTTAGAAGGTGTAAAATATGTATCTAATCAGAACATGAAAGAAGCTGGCAAAGAAATTAGAAATTTAAAGAAAAGTACAGCTTGTGGTGTTTCTGTAGATGGTACTTGGCAGCGTCGTGGCCATATATCACTGAATGGTTGTGTATCTGTCATATCTATTGACACTGGTAAAATTTTAGACTTGGAAGTAATGTCTCGCTATTGCAGAATTTGTAATGGCAATTATAAAAAATGTGATCATGTATGCTCGAATCATAAGGGTTCAGCTGGAAATATGGAAGTCGTCGGAGCATACCGATTATTTTAAAAATCGACAAAAAGTCGAGAACTGCAGTATATTGAGTACTTTGGAGATGGAGATTCCAAAGCATATATGGAAGTAAAAGACATTTATGGAAAAGACTCGGTTAAGAAACTAGAGTGTATCGGTCATGTCCAAAAAAGAGTTGGTACCCGTTTGCGAAATTTGCTGAAACATTTAATGGCTTTTAGGGAATTCATACTAAAAGCTAAAATTTAATCTTGATAACACAGCATTTTTATTTCGTTCTTATAAACTATTAAGAGCAGCCTGAGAAACAGAAAGCACTTACCATTTCCTTTTTTAATTGGAGAAAGCCATGTAAGCCTTAAACAGTAATGTCTGTACCTCTTAACTCTAGTGGCGTACATTATATTTTTGACTTTGAGGCAGTTCACTTCATTTCATTTCCCTTAAAGTATTACATTTCACT